CCGCTGGGCACATTGACTCCCCCCCACCACTCTGCTCGCCCTCTCCTCTTGCCCCCGGCCTGCTGGTGGGGGGCAGCCCACTGGGTGGGTGCCGGCAAGCAGAATTTTGGGGGCTCCTGCAGTTTGGTGTCAGCATATAACTCCAGCTTGCTTTCCTGAGCAGGCTTGGAGGATGCCAAGGGGAAAAACCAAAACAGTGCAGGATGCACCCGGCTTTGCTAGCAGCAAGGGCATCTCACAGCACAGCCTCTGCCCTCCCCTCCAAACACCGCCCTGCCAGCCGAGCCATCAGGCCAGCCGAGCCATCAGCTGGCAAAATTGGATGGCGATGGCTTTTCTGCTGCTGGTGGCACAGAATGTGTTAAAGTGATGGTTCCTCCACCAGTCACAAGGCTTTCCTGCCCTCCCCATCCCTCAAAACCCAGGTACAGGGAGTAAAAATAAGAATGAACACTGCACCCAGATGCATAGCTACAAAAAAACCCCCCTCAAAACCAAGAAAAAAACCCCACACAGGCAAGACAAATCCTGCTTTTACAGAGCAGGAGGCTGGGAACCACCCACATATTTGTCATTGTAGGCAAGAAATTTGGATGTCTCAGGAGAAGCCTACCTGCCACACAAGCTGCTCTTTCCCCATTTCACCCCAGCTGCCCCTTGCAGCCGGGAATGGGGGTGGCCCTGTCCCTCCTGCCCCCCGTCAGTGCCTGGGGAAGTGGGGGGTCCAGGCTGGTCTGTGTGTCGGGGGTGGCAAAGGCAGGGAGCAGGCAGCCTTCTGACCTCCCCTACCCCCACCGGCCACCCTGGCGCAGGGGAATGAAAGCAGTGCGTCCCTGTGCCTCCCCAAGCAGCTGCTGCCCCCCACCCAGCTGCATGGGGGGTGGCAGTGTGGGACACCCCATGGGGGCCGCCACCAGCTCCCCACCGGGGTGAGCAAATTCAATACCTCCCTGAGCTCCACTGATAACCTGCCACTGTCTCCTACCACAGATCCATGGCCCCAGGCCCATACGCATCCCACCGCCATCCCCAAGGGATCAGCAACACCTCTCCTGTGCCTGACGGCATCGGGGCGCGGGGCCGACCCCCGGGAGGATCGTGGGGCTGCTCGCTATGCAGAGGCCACTCGTGTTTACACTCGGTGACAGTCTTTGCTTACATAGTGCCTTGCTCCAGCAAGAGGTTTACAGGCGAACAGCCTCTCACACCACCAGTATGCACTGGGCCCTGCTGGTGGAAACTGGGGTGGGGAAAGGGTGTCAGGGATGCTGACAGCTCCCAAGCCTGCAGGGGAGCAGCACTCCCCTCTGAAAAACAGAGGGGAGGAAGGTTTCCGTGGCCTCCTGATGGCTGTATGTTGCCCGGTGCCAGGCTGGGAGTACAAAGGGTGGGTCTGGCCATAGAGGAACACGTGCCATGGTGCCCAACCTGCACCCCTGCCCCTTCCCCACACATCTCTGCCTCTGCCTGCCTGGGGATGGAGGGAGGCAGCACGATGCGCCCCAGATGATCCCGCTTGTGGGAAGGATCCCTGAGGGATCTCGAGGTGGCTGTGGGTTCAGGACAACCTCTGCTTGGCTCTGACCCGCTCCAGATGTCTCCATGCAGCAGCCAGGGCTGCAAGAGTGAGGGGTGGTGCAGAGCCCTTCCTTGGCCCCTGTTTCCGCACCTTGTGGCCCTGCTGTGGAGATAGCAGAAGTCTGGAGAGTTCATTTAGCAACTGAAGTCATTAAGGAATCACACTCAGTTGTCTCTAAGCCCTAACGAAGCCAATTCCCAACATTAATGATTGTTCTTCCTTACACTGTCAGCCACTAAATATAGCTGCCCATCTACTCAGCACACAGTGCTGATGTTATCTGCTCTGTTTTTACTGGCTCTGATGCTCTCTGGAAGTTTTATATCAGTGGAAAAGTTCTCTGCTCAGGGAGATGGAAAAAAAAAATCCATCTTCTTAACTTAATAATTTTTCCACTCCCTTTTGCCTTCCACCACATACACACACTTGCCTTTCCTCATTTATTCATTAGCGTTCTCGTCTTAATAAAGAAATGCCTCCTGCTGTTGCTGTCAGTTTGTGGGTGCTGCGTTTATGCACTGCTTGGGACATTGGTCAGCAGAAACCCAGTTTAATCCCTACAGGGTCGATGATTTCATGTGGCTGTGCTGCTGTGCTCACACCTCCAACCTGGCCAGGTACAGCCCCCTCCTCTTCCCAACAGCGAAGACTCTACAGGGACCAGTTTTAGAGCTGTGTAGCAGAAATCGAAGCCCAAAAGAAGCACGAGCGAAAGTCATCTGGGGACAAAAAGGAGAAAATCCTTTCCAGAGAGCTTCCTAGAGGGTTGCCTGCCTTGCTCTGCCACTGCTGTGTCACAGCTTGTATTCCTCTCCAAAATCACTGACATTAACCACTGTGGACAAGCAACACAGCCGGATTTTTCACAGATGGCACAGATGAAAGCAAGTATTACACTCATCTAATCTGAATGCCACAAAAATCGGTGTCAGCCTCAACCCATTAATTGCTACCTGTCATTCCTCCAGGAAGATATCCCTGTCTTGATTTCAGGATACCCAGTGTGGGAGAATCCACCAGTCCCAAAGGCAAATTCTCCCTGTCGTTTGTCTACATGTTCTTTGGAATATACCTCTTACTTTTAGCCTGGTATTTATCTAACTACTTGCTTCCAGCCACTTGTTATACCTTTTCTTTATGGGTGAGATGCATCAACTCTCAAATGCAGCACAGTTTAAGCACACTTGACTGGTCTTGTAAGATCCCGACCCACTAGCTGAAAGATATTCCACCCACACAATTCTCTTCTTATTATTTGCCTTGTGATCCCGGAGCCTGTAAGGTGCATATTTTCAGCTTTGCTCCTAAGCCAGGAGAGGAAGGATTTGCTATTATTTTTAATGGCATCTGACTTTTTCAGCTCATCGTGTAATTGCAGGAGTGGGGGCTACAGAACATCTCAATACTCGCTGCACAGTCTTTCCTCTTGAACTCCCTTTTTTTCTCCAGCCAGGGACTTCTTCCCCTCCTTTTGCCCTTTCCTTCTGTTGGGCATCTCTGTCTTCCTCTCATTTTAATTGCTATCTTGCTTTCTCCAGTCTTCATCTTCCCTTCTTCATGTTTTCCCTTTGCATTTTGCTCCTCCCTTGGTCACTCCATCCCTCTGCCCCATCTATGCCTGCTGTCAGCCAGGGAAACCTTTTCAACCTTTTGCTGCAATTGCTCCCCTGTTGTGAGCAGTGCTAGGATGTCCTCCAGGGAGCTAGCGATGGGCAGGAGCCCACTGGCACAAGCTGGCGAGCTCCTGTGTGAAGGGGAAGTGTGCCTGCAACAGCATCTGCCTGTGGTGCTCAGGGACCTCACTGTGCTGGGCACAGCAAGTGCTGTCCCTACCCAGCCAGCGTGCCCTGGGGAATACGACAGGGAAATGGAGACATACAGGCAGCAGGGCATGGGGTGAAGGACAAAAGAAACAACATGACTTTCAGACAGACTCAATGTGAGAACCCAGAATGAAGTTCACACTGAATATGACATGCATGTTGTAAGACCCAAAAGACAAGGATGCTGTTTGCAAAATAGGTACCAGACCAGGCCCAGAAGAACATAGAGAGATGGTGTAAGTGAGGAAGGGTCATGAGGCTTCAACTATCAGCTGAGAATATTGCAGCAGCTTTTCCATAACACCACAAGCCTGAGTAGCAGATAAATAAGTAGTGTACAAACCAGCAAGCCCAAATTCCTAGTTGTTACACTATGGGTATGACTGTAAAATACGGCGTTACGCTCTGCGCATGTCCCTCCCGTTGGTAACGCTCCACAGCCTGCCTCACACCACAGGGACAGAGTCACACATGTGACTTCAGTCTCAATGTCTACTTTTCCTTTACTGCCACAGCTCCCACCACACATACCTGCCAGAGACAGCTTTGCCACCACACAGAAATGCAGCTGCTTCTAGGTCTACCCTAGAACAGCCCAGCCATATCTTACAGCCCACCAGCAGAGCAGACGATGGGAAGAGTACAGACATCATGTCCAAGTGAAAGCAAAGGGCGCATTGACTGAACTCGCAAAACAACTTTCAAAGTTAAGGGGAGCCCCGAGTTTGCTCTTCATCACAACACAACCCCCAGATGCATTCCTGAAGAGGCAGGCAGGAAAACAAAATCCAAAATCAAAACAGGGGAAAAAACCTCTCAAACAGACTAATCTGATCTTCCCCGCAAAAACAGATAGCTTTTCTCACCCCAGAGCAAAACAAACAGCATCCCTACTGACTGCTCAAAGAGCGAGGCAGTTTTTCTGAGTTCCTCACCTTTTGCCTTACTCTGTAGGTTTGATCAGAGAAATGTCGGTTTTTATCCTTCAGGCTAGTATTAAGCTATTAAATGCACCATTTCACCTTGTTTTCCTTTTATTGACTGTCACCTTCAGAGCTCCTCATGGCAGTTTGCTCTCCCACTTCTACCTCCTAACTTCCTTCCCCTTCCAAGCAGACCGGCCCCACACTCCTTCGCCAGCAGCTCAAACACCACCACTGCCAGAGCATCTATAAACTAAAGAACAACCTTCCCCCACACTAACATAAGTCACTGCCACTTCATTTCACCTTTAATTGGCTACTGGTTTTTCATTTAAGTCAGTTGATAACTACCCTTTACTCCTCAGACTTCCCATTTTGGGCTCACCTGCTCTTCAGGAGGCTGGGTGCCTCGTGATGGCAGGCTTCCTAGTGCTATTCAGCCCCAAGACAGTGCGACTTGTATGTTTGCTTGCTCCCTGTCACCTAGCAGGAGTCAGAGGGTGTCACCTCCTGCTGCTGCAGTGGGGGAGGTTTAGCACACGCTTGCCATTTCACTGCTCAGAACATTTGCTGTTTGTACAAGCACGCACATCGCTTTCCTTCAATGTAAAAGCCCATGCCAGCAGAAAGAAACCACAGAGAGAAGTGCAGTTTTACCTGGAAAGTAGTTCTCACCTGGGAATGCTGTGATGGGTTCTGCAAAGGAAAAAAAAAAAACCCTAGTATTAGAGAGGGGAATATTACACACAAGGCCACAGTTCATGTTTTTGTTGATTTGCAGTTGCCAAGCGGAACAGGCTTGTGGCTGTGCCCCACAGAAGCCACTTGCTGGAAACAGCGCTGGGTGCTAACCAACCTCACCAGGATGGGGAGAAACCCTGTCTCAGCTGAGGAGTGACCAGATGCAGTAAGCTTCAACTCAGACACAGACTTCACAGAATAATATGTCTGAAGTTGAGGGTCACTTGGATTCAGCTGGCTGGCCTGAGTCATCCGAAGACAAAACCCCACCTGACCCAGTAATGAAACCCTGAAATCCCCTAAAATTTCTAAGAGCATTTTGGTTTCTGGCTCAACTCTGGCATCGTTATTCACATGGGAACTATGTTACTTCTGGGCATCGACGCCATACCCCTCTCCATCTCACAGTGCCAAGAAACAAAGGCAAGTGATTTTTTTCTTCTTTCAAGATACTTTGAAGTAATCTATTACAAATTACTGGATCTGAAAAGCAATAATCAGTACTTATTACTGATTACTTTCTCGCAGAAGGAATAGGCTTCTGATTATTTTTAGATTACTTCTGCATTATGCCTGTGAGTCACAGAAGCAGACTCTGGCTCTACTGAGTGCTATGAAATCATCACTCAAGTTCAGAATGTGAATGACACATCTGTCAAAGGAAAAAATTATTGTGACTTATTAGCATTCTTTCACGCTAAAAAGGAATCAGATTACCTCCCAGGATTACATCTGAAAAAATAGTATCCTGTGCTGGAGTCAGCTATTCTCGTGGCCCTGACAGAGAGAGAGCAGCACTGTATCTCTACCATTTCATTATTATTTCGGTGACATCGGAAATGACCCATGAGTTATGTTAAAGTTTGCAGTGGGAAGCCTTTGTTAGAAATTATCTGAAACAAACTATCCTTATTGGTTTTAAGATTCCCATTCAACTTCCTAGAATGGGACAAATAATTTTGTGTAGCAGTTTGGTGTTATTTTTAGGGCTGGCAACACTTGAAACTTCATAATTTATTAACACTTTTGTTTTGAAACATTAAGCTTTAGGTTCATGAAGCCTAAGATACAGTAACACTGGAGCTAGGTGAATTGCTGAGCTCAAAAGACGTTAGATAGGAAATGCTGTTAGTATTAATCATCAGTCTTGCTTCTCTTTAATGCCATAGAAGGCAAGAGATTATAACACCACCGCCAAGCCTTAAATACAGGGAATTTGACATATGGAGTATTAGCTCCTTTGGCAGATGGGAGACCAGCAGAGTTCAAAGCATCAAAGAAACTGGGACTGACGGTGCTCAAGAGCATCTCTGGGGCAGTCCCAGTACTCTGTTCTATTATTAACGCCAGTTCCTGCACCATCTTCACCATCGCGTGCCTGCACAGGGCAGCAAGTGACATGACCAGCCCTTCCCAGGCACAATTTGTCCCGTGCTTCCTCTGCTGACATACACCCCTCGGAAGAGAGCATCCGTCCCACGTGGGTTAGGAGGCACCGGGATCCTCATCCTCCCTTGGTGGGGGAGAGGAGAGCAGCTTCACTGAATGGGGCCTTGCAAAGCCCAAAGGGGAGAGAGACTCTGCTCCACCTGACTTCTTCCACTGACTTCAGGATGGGTCGGGCACTTTGCAGGTCTTTAACAGTGAAACATGCCTCCCCCAGGTCACGCAGAAGAGCAGGGCCTTGCTAGTATGGGCAGCTCTCAGCACAGATCCCACTAATTGAACACTGCTGGTGCCATCCTCAGCTGGGATGGCTCTAAATCCACATCCAAGCTAGATGGTGACCACAGCCATCAGAGTGCGTGCATGGATACACCAGCTAGAGGAACAGGGCAGGGCAACAGCTCCACCAGCACAGTGCTAGAACACACTTTTTTCTCTCTCTTTTTTTTTTAAAGTCCTCTGTGTCTTTCACATTGAATGAATCCACCTGGCTTTTGGCCTGGTTTGGGAAACGGTGAATTCTAGGACAAAAATTTCTTTTGTTATTCTGTTAACATTGCCGTAAAACCCCTCTGCTATTTTATTTCTTATTAGAGAAGACTTCTTTTGAACTCATTGGCCCCTCTACGCATGTAATACTGACTGACAGCTGGTTTCTTTTGTCCAGCACTTTCCTTTTAAATTTGGTGTATGTCCTTATCACATAGAATACTCCTCGGTAACCCTCAGCTGCTCTTTCAGCCTTGCGCAGCAGAGACATGTGCTTCCTGCCTCTCACACCAACATGGTCAGGGCCCCCGTCCCTCAGAGACTGAGTCCACCTCATTTCTTTTGTGGCCAAGGAAAGTCCCAGCTGAGATCCAGAAAATCCCGGTAAGTCAAGCAGGGGAGAAGAAGTGGCCCACTGGCAGCCTGCAAGTGAAGGCCCTCCAGCTCTGGCTGTCCCCACCACCATCCCCGACCCCATGGCTGGACACAACAGCACGTACCCATGCAGCTCTCCAGTGGGATGTCGGTGCCTAGCCGGATGTCATCAAGGGCAAGCTCTCCTGAGTGGCCACTGCGTATAAATCCCTCAAACACAATCTGTAAGAAATTGGGACAGAAATGTCAATGCTAACCTGAGAGGCAGAGCACGGCTGCTACTCCTGAGGGAAAGGGCGGGAGATCTGCTCCTGGCATTCCCTGCACGCCTGCAGATGACCTGAGACTAGCCCTGCTTCCTTGCCCTGCCTCGGACATCCCTTCCCCAGGGAAAGTTGCTCTGCAGGGACAGGTTTGGCAGAAAGATTGTTACCTGGCCTGGCAGCACTCGGCTTGCAATTTGTTCTTGCAGATGTCTCTTGCATAGAATAAAGACTCAGTGAATCAATGTTCAGCATCGCAGGCCACCCTCTGGCTCCTTGCACAAATGATGCAAGTGGCATAACACTGGCTTAGAGCAGCAGCAGATTTGGGCCACAGTATTAACTAGGCTATGATCAGAAAAAGGAAGGGAAGGACACAAAATGCACAGCTACATTAACTGTAAAATGCTGTTCCCATCAACATTACATAAGAAGTATTGAAATGTTAGAGGAGAAGGGTCAATTTATTCCTACTTAATCACAGACAAAATATATTTACAAAAATAAATAGAGTCATTAGCTCTAAGAACTGCTGAGTGGAGAGACTGGCGTTATTTACATAATGATGCTGTTATTTAGCTAATGCTGGTATATTCACATTTAATGCACGAAGCAGTCAGCCAGTGCCCATCATTCTTATCTGTAGGCATATTGTGTTTACTGGTATTTTATTAAAAAGCCAAAAACACACATGCAAACCAGTCACGCAGCTCTGGTGCAACACTTTTGCTTTCTATCTCCCTGACTACTTTTGAGGGTCCAAATAATTTCCTAGGGCTACGTATTTCACAAACCTCCTCTCCCCATTTTAGATGCCCCCTTTCTCTGGGGTGGCTGGGCAGCCCGATCCCATGCCTGCATGCAAGGAGACCTCCCTGAAGGGCCAGGCGTCTGTCTGCGCACAGGGCAGAGTGTCAGAGCTGCCGGTCCCAAGTACGAGCCATCGGTGCACGCAGGAGGCAGCAGTTTGGAGGGGTCAGTGGCCTGAGAGCAGCAGCTCCCCGGGTCAGGGTTGGGGCTGGGAGCCAGCCAGAGAAGGCTCCCTGCCAGGGTGGTCATCAAAGCACTGCCTTGGGCCTGCAAGTGACTGTTTCCTTCTGTTTCGGAGGGTGCTGGATGGCATGCTGATGCTCATTAACAAGTGACAACAGCAGCCCTGGCTCCCTGGCAAATGGCGCGCTGCCCAGAAGGGCTAACCATGCCAAAGGCACTCCTGGGAGCAGCAGCCTCTCCGCGGGGTGCTGGCATGGCCATGCCAGAGGGGCTCAGGCTGCTGTGGCTCCCTCCAGCTCATCCCTCCTCTTCCACTGATCTCCTGACAGTGGGACTGGGCCTTGATCCCACAGCGCTGCACCCAGCCCTCTGACCTGGTCTAAGGTATCCGAGAAACAGATTCACAAATGAACCCACATTCCCTCTTCCTCCTCCCACGCCAGCACTTGCAGCTAAGGCTGAAGAAGGGCTGTTTGCTGCCTACCCTTAAGAGCTGGCCGTACCCCCTCCCAGCTTCCCACTTCTCCTGGCTGCAGGGTTTGGGTTTGCTCCCTGGAGCTGCGCACCTGCCTCTGGTCAGACTATCTGATGACCATCAGGTGCGGGGAGGTGGGGGGGCGGGCAGGAAATGCACAAAACAAAATGAAAAAAAACAGAAGGGAAAATATTTGCAAAGTGGGAGATTTGAGGAATATAAAAGGCAACAGGCTGAACAAAGGCCCGAGTCTGTGCAGAAGACAGGCACTCTCTGAATAACAAACAGTGTCATTTAGTTACTATAGTAACTCGAGAAACACAATGAAAACAGCCACATTCCCTAATGATGAATGGGCCCTGGCTCTTAAACACTGAAATAAAGATGCTGGAGATGCCTGCCTGGCCCAGCACACCTTTCCCAAGCATCTTACCCGGTACTCCATGTCATAGCTCGGCAAGATGATGCGGCCTTCCCTCCACTCCTCCCCTTGGTCCTCCTTGATGACCCACAGCGCCTTGTGCTCCTGGCTGGCTTCCCGCCAGACCCGCAGCATCACCCCGTTGCTGCCCCACACCTGGTACTGGAAGACCATGCAGACAGTGCTGCGGGGCAGATAGATGGCAGGGCTGATGAGCCGGGCTCGCTGGCCTTCCCTCCTTCTGCTGCTCTGCAGCTGCAGGTAGTTCTTGCCATCTGTTCAAAGAGGAAAACACCATTACATTATCTTCTGTGGCCATTTGCAACAAGTGTCTCACCTCCTGCCAGGTGGTTTTGACAGTGCTGGGCAGGCTCTCACACCCATGCCTGCAGGAGTGGGGTCTCACACCGGCGCCCTCTGTGCGTGCAGCAAGCCATGCCACTGCTGGCTGCTGTGCCCTGTGAAGTCTGGGCAGAGCATCGAGGAGCACACTTCCCTCACCAGCCACTACCGTCTGGTAGGAGACCGACAGCAAAACCAGAAAGCGGTAAGCCGCAGATCGATACAATTAGGAGAAGTTAAAGAGCAGTTATTGTCAGAAGAAGCGACGCCACAATAATGAATGTTGGCGGGGGGGTCGTGTTTATTCTGCTGGGAGCTTGCTCAGTGAACAAGCCTGAGGTAGGCTTTTCTAACCGCTGGCGCTGAAAACTCATCTTGGGATGGGGATCTCAAGCTGTGTTCATCCTGCCTCTTTTCATCCCCAATGGTAAATACTCCACAATCAGGGTCTAGCTGACAATTTTGTTTCGAGGATACGCAAGACAAAATGAAAGCCTGGCTCTCGGATTTTCTGTAATGCAGCAAAACAGCCTCTAAAGCACAGCACAGAGGAACGATGTGGTCCCAGTGAGTGAAGTATGCACAGGTGACAGCCGGGTAGCTGGAAACTTGAAGGTAGCTAAAATACATACAGCAGGGGATTCACTTGCTTTAATATTACATTTTAAATTGTGCCATGCTTTTTGTCAATCCTCAGGGAGGAGATTTGGTACATTTGATATCCCAGGAGAAGTTCAAGGCTGAGACTGGAATTGGAGATACTTGATCTGAATACCAATAGCAGCAAAAACCCATGGATACAAATCCCTGGGCACGGCTGATTTGGTCTGGAATCAGTGGTTTCCAGCCATGTCTGATGAGAAGCCTCCTCAAGGAGTTCCCCATTTGCAGCTTGGGTGCCTGAAGTCCCCTAGCACAGACTGAAAGCCAAGCGTGTAGCTGATCTCATCCTTACCTGCCCCCTCCCATCATGACCAATGGCAGGACAGAGTCCCCTGGCTTGCTCCAACCGCAGTGCCTGCAGTACAAGGTGACACAGACAGGCCAACAACAGACGTTGCTGTATTTCGCATTTCACTCAACAGAGGGATGAACATGCTTGCTCTTGCTACACAATGGGCAAGCATCACTGGTGCTTCATGCCAGCATGTGTGAGCCCTCCTGCAGCCCAGCGGGGTTATCTCTGCCCCAGGACCATATCTAAGGGTCTGTCGCTTCCTTTCCCTGCATCTTAGCCTGCTGCGCTTGACAGGCAAAGCTCTGAGCAGCAGCCTGTCTCCTGCTTGCCCTGCTCCCTCTGCGGTTTCAGTGCCCACAGCACTGCCAAAAGAGCAGTGTCTGCACTGAGAATGTTTGCAAAGTGCACCCAAAACACCTCCAAAACTTAAACCAGAGAGACTTGAACTTAGAGCCCAGTTCCCGAGCATTGAAAGACAGGTCCTACCCCGAGAACAGCAGCTGACCTTGCTGCCGCTCAGCAATCCAGTGACATCCCAGCCCAAGGGAGATGTATCAGTGGTTGCACAGCCACTGGCCCTGCTGCAAGTTTGGAACTGCCAGAGAGCTGGGCTGAAACCAACCACTGTGAGCTACACAGCTTTCTAAAATAAATTTAGGACAAGACAGCAGAAAGATTTGCCATCACTCTACTCCTGGGATGTATGATCAAAATATTGCAAAAGCGTATCCACTCCATATGAACTTTCACTGATTTTGCTGCGTGAAGGACAAATCTGTCCCTGACCAGTCATAAAGAAAAAGCAACATTTTCCAGCAATATTTTCCAGCACCTATGAAAGGTACTTGGGCCACTTGGCACTTTATGCCAACAAACAGTAGCAGAAAAAAAGATGAAAGTATGTTTGCCCACTCCTGCTTGAGTGAATCACTTGAAAAAGTACCATGCCGTTCTCTAATGGAGGAGTGTTCTTGTGATTTACCTTGGAGTGGTAGTGGTGGAGGAGGAGATGTGGGAGATAAACAAGTGGAGGAAGAAAAAAGAACAAGCCGTACTCCATGCCTAAGGAGCAATAAGGCATAATAAGCCATCAAGGTCTCCTGAATTAAAATCCTCTTTTTGTAATTCACTACAAGCCTCTTCAGAGAAAAAAGCAACAACAAGAAAAAAGCAGCAACAACAAACAAGGTGGAAGAGCAAATCAGACTACAATCATACAATTATCTCACAGCTGAAATGGTCTCACAGGCAAATCCTTAATAAAAGCACCAGCCAAGCTCAAAAAGGATCAAATCCAGATCCTCAAAGTTCAGGACCGACCTCTGGTGCCAGTATCTAGGCAGCCTGACTGAGTGCAGAGATGCGAGCCACCCTTGGATCCACCCAAAGCCCACAGCTGACCACAGGGGACTATGTTAATTGTGCAGCTGGACACCCCCCATGATCCGCACCCCTCACTGCCTCTGCCGCCTCAGCGAAAGAGCCTGTCTGCCTCTGAGTCACATCCCTCCCACCAGGGATGACACCAACCTCCAATTTGTTCCCATTCCTATCAGGCTGTGAAATCAAAGAAACTCCTGAACTGCAGCCAAAACCAATGCCCCCTGCAACCATGCAGACTCTTTCAGAGCTGCAGGAGCCCTCCCAAACCCTGCATCTTCTGTGCTCCCTGCCCAGCGCTTGCTGGGGCCCACAGAGCTCTCCAGGACCTGCTGGCAATCCCAGGGGCTGTGGGGAGGCTCAGTCTTTGGGTGATGAACCCAGCTGCTCCCCTGCAAGTGGCAGTGGGTCTGGGTACCACGCACTCCTGCTCCTGGTAACAGGAACTTCTGGAATGGAGAGCAGAGCTCAAGCAGATGCAACTTTCTGTGTCATTTGAAGATGTAAGGGCTGGATCACTCTAATGGCTAGTTGGACCTTCTGAAAAGCCTTGCAAATCTGCTGAGATTGACTGTACAAGGGCACTGTGGAGCTAATTGTTGGAACAGCATGTGGGAGCCCGGTGGTTCCAGTAGTTGCTCTGTTTGATACAGTAAATGGAAGCCTTTGGCACAGAAAGCACCTGAAAGGATGATTTCCCCTGCTAAAATACTTGAAGGGAGCCTTGCAACAATGAGCTGATCAATTCTTCCAGGATCAGAAATGCATTTTAAGCTCTTTCCCAGAACTTTGCTTTGCAGCCTCTATTCCAGCTAACACAGCAGCTACATCCCCCACCGAACTGGCACTGGAAGTTCAAAGCACCAGCACAAAAAAGGCAGGACAAACCTGCTCAGGCATTTTAACCTACCGCTGTTTTTGCAACCGATGTTACAGCATAAATCTCATGGAAGATTTATGGGATCATCTGGATGTAGGGGAGCCAGAGGAGCATGAACACGCAACCATCCCCAGCCAGACGATGGCAGAATCGCTTGTATGTGCACGGCAGTGAGTCCTGGATAAATCACCAGCCGGGCCCTGCAAACAAACCATCTGGCCAATGCGGTTTCCTCTTGGCGCGCCCATCCCCTCCTGCTAGCAAGCCATCTGAGAGGACATGAGGGGCAGCGGGGGATAAAGCCTTGCGGTTTGGGTCAGGCTGCAAGCGCGAGCCATGGCAGCCACCCCCTCTGCAAGGTCAGCCTGCCTGTGCTTGGGTCCTACACATCTCACCCCCTCTCCCAAGAAAAGCACCTTCCCTCATCGGTCTCAGCAGCACATCTGGAGGTTTTCCATCAAAACATGTCAGGCAGGATGTACATAAGCAATTACTGAGATTTCAGATTCCCTCCACATTTCCCCCTCGCTGGATATCGTTGAGTTACAGCTGCTGCTCCTACGGAGGACCCATGCTGAACTGCCTTCACTTACATCCCTCCAAAGGTCACTGCACTCTTCTTCATTGCAGGGCTTGTTTCACAGTGTGTTTTAGTGGCAGCGCCGCAGCCCACCGGTAGCCACCTCTTGTCTGCCAAATCCCATAGGTGACATCTCTGCTCTGGGCCCTGCCTGTTGCCTGCACAGCCCCAAATGCCATCCCTGACCGTGCTGTGTCAGTGCTGCGCAGACGTCCCAGTGGGCCACATTCTGCCGTCCTTCTGGGGTGTGTGAGCTGGAGGCTGCATCAGCCCTTGCCTTTCCCAGGGAGCAGATCAGCTCAGATCCCCTCACAACTGCAGGGTGCTCTGGTAGCAGGGGGATGACAGCTGCATGAATATGCAGATTGAAATTGGATAGTTATTATATTTTTAATTTTTTTGGCAAATCATGCAAATTCACCTCAAAAGGCTGCTGCCGCAATTTCAGTGACAAGCCTCTTCTCAATGACAGACTTTCATTTACGAAGGGAAATCAATCCTCCGTAAAACTAATATTTATATTAACTAGATCACTGCGTCTGCTGGAAAATCCCCTCAATTTTGATTATGTGTTAATTAGCCTGCCAAGTCCTTGCTATTTCAGTCTCTAAATCAGTCCGTGAAGACATAAAACCCCACACCTGCCCAGAACCAAGCCCTCCGCTTGCTCTCTGGAGCCTTTCTAATGGACGGGCCATTACATCTTCTCTCTTAATTAAGTCTCATGTCCTCAACAGTGTGGCACAATTGTGAGTCCCACTGCCCCCCCACCCTGGGAGCGCAGGGAGGGCACGATGTCCCTGACAAACCAAATGCCAATTAGAGCCTGACATTTATGCTAAGTGAGTTGCTTGCCATCGCGCCGCATCCACCGCCAGTCTGGCAGGCACCCTGCATGCCCCTACATGAAAGGATGTGTGCAGACCCACCCACGCCTGGCGTTTGTGCACGCACAATTAAAGGCATTAACCGAGCCATCGCTTCCACCGCACAGGCTGCACATTGCAGCTTGCTCGCGTGCGTGCATGCTTTCCTGAATCAGGTTCTGTGACTCACAGGCTGCTAAGTCACTGCTGCGAAGCGATGGAGGGATGCACGCACTAAGATTTGAGAGACGGTATCTTGCTTTCCAGAGAGCATTCCAGCCTGGTTTTATAGGCAGTCTGTGTCACTGGTGTTTGGGTCCAAAAAGTGACTAAGGACTCAGACAGGCGAGCAGCGAAGAAACGGTGAGCCCCAGAGGAATGGTTTCTTCTCCTCTGTCTCTAGCCCAGCCCAAGTGAGCGGGAGCTTTGCTGGCAATGCAGACACAGACCGTGGCCATGGCCCTTCTCTCATGAAAGACAGTATGGCCATGAGGGCAGCCACAACCTGGCCATAGCCTGGCTGTAGCCCATGGCCAGGGCACTCACACAGCCCCGACCCCCCAGCCGATGCTCAGCAAACCTCCCATGATCCGGGTGCTGGGGTATCTCAGCTCCACCATGCTGTAGGCAGCCAAGGCACGAATGACTTTTTAGGGTTTGCTGTCCTCACTGTGCAAATGAGGGTCAGGAGAGCCACGTACAACTTGGTTGAGATGCAATCTACACCACACATGGGGGGAGCAGGGAGAGACAGAGCCGGGTATGTGGTCTCCTTCCCACAGCGTGCAGCTGCTCACTCACTGCACAGAAGTGCTTGACTTTCACACCACCCCACATGCAAAACAACCTCCTACTTCAAAAGGGACAGGATTGACCCTAGAGGTCAAAATGTGTCCCCAAGGCACAAGCCCTAGAGTAAGTCTCATGAGAGTAAGTGCAGACCAGCCCTGCTCCATTAACACCATGAAAACCTTTCTGCTGGTTTGGACAGAGTAGGATCAAGGCCTTCAGGCAGAAGTTCTCATGGACTGCAGGACAAATATGAAACTTTCCCTTTTAAAGATCCCATGGGAAAAACACAGGAATGATAAAGAGTCACCATCAGCTTAAAAACAGCTCAACATTTGTTTTCCTTAAAAAATAAGCTCTTATAAAACTCCAGAGCGCTACAAACATTCCTCTGCTGGAAATGCTTTGAAACAAATAAACCTTTCCCTGCAGTGCCTGCAACCCCAATGAGCAGCATTCCTGACCCTCAAAGCTAGCGAGGCCATGGCCCACAACAGAAGCTCTCGGTGGGTTTTTGCAGCCGAGCCCAAGAGCTATGTGGTCAGAAGAGCTGCAAGGCTAAAATCACTTCCTTTTCTGCGTGCACGTACAGCTGCCAACATCCAAACGACATGGGGTTCACAACGCTGCCAGGGCTCTGACCCCAACACCATGCTCATCCAAATGAGAAGCAACATGTGGTAGAGGTGCAGACCCCACAGCGCTCTTCTAGGACCAGAAGGTATTTACTTAATGACTGCAAGAACAGGGGAGGGGAAAAAAAATGGGCAAAACACACCAATTCCAGCTTTTCAGTGCTGGCTTATTAGCATAGCATCACTGAGAGCAATGCAACTGCACCTACCAGCTAAGGATATGACCCAGGGTCTTTACATTCTTCAGGATCAAGATTCCAGTGAAATTAAAAGACGGTGAAGAGTTGAGGTGCCCAACTTACCAACCCAGATTTATTTTCAGGTCTTAAGACCTCTATCTTGACACCAATGGCTCATTGCCATTGCGTGCAGCAGGAGCGGGGATGAAACCTCATTGAAACCTGAACTTGTTGCTCCTTGAAGCTTGCTAGGTGCAGCTAAGGGGAATCTTTCTCTAGATGGGAAGCATCTGAAAATCCATAGAGGAAAAAGTCCTGGTAATCTCTTGTCGGGGCATGGAAAAGGGAGCAACAGTATTTTCTAGGCTTGCAAAGGGCAGGGTAACAGCTGGAACCATGCTGGGTTTCTGCTGAGTTGGCCACTTTGGGTCCACTTTCACCAATGGGGTTCCCAGACATGTAACAGGAACCTGCAGGAGAGGACATGGAGCTAATCCATGGTGCAAAGAGCCCGAGGAACACAGGGCTAAAAAAAGAAATGCAGAGCTGCCTGAAAGAGTATCTTGGAAATAAAAATAGTGGAATGAGAGCAGTGGGTGTCTTGTCAGTCTCGAGAAGTTCTCTGCGCCAAGGACGAGGAGGAATTGCATGCAGCACATAAAATGAAATCGGGAGATATCTGAGGAATTCAGGCCTGTCTCCCAGCAGACTTTTCTAATCAAGTGCCTCACAGAGGATATTTCACCATGGTCATTTCCTTCCCCCTCTCTCTCATGCAGACTCAGCCAGGGCTCCTCCTTTCATTATTATTTTTTTCCCTTTTAATTTTAATTTTTGTTTTGCCATTTTCAGAAGAAATAGAAACACATCCCACATGGCTCTTAAAGGCACAGCACATTTCCTTGCTACTGTGGAGCAGCCACGGACTCTAGCCCAGGCCAGCACCTTTAAATCAGAGTAAATTGGGCTCCAGCGGCTTTGAGTTCCCGTTAGCTTTTGCCCTGCCCCTAAACCAAGCACAGCTGCTCTCCTTCACCCAACTGCTCCCCCCAGGGTGGGGAATTCACAAGAAAAGACCACCCCGAACAAGGGCTTTTCATTCCTTGCTCCCTGGAGTCTGAGGATGAATTTTCTAAGTAGAAACAAAGTGCTGGAGGGAGCGTGAGGGAAAGGCAGGGGAAGAATGGGGGACTGTGAACCAAACAATGCTTCGATTCTGTCCCCGCCGAAGGGCCAGCATCGCCTCTTTTTCATGTTTCTGGAGTTGCTTTTAAAAGCTGTGCAGGGAAGAAAAAAGCAAATAGTTGTTTCCTTTGGTGCCATGTCTTCTCAATTTCTAAGAGCAGGACCAAAGTGAGGCACAGCAACGACGCCTTTGCATGCCAGCCCCTCCGCAGCCCTGCACTGCGTGGGCAAGGCAGCGGCATAGCTGCTGGGAGGGCATATCCTTGCCTGACCCAGCCAGGAGGCTGATCCCATGCCACCACCAACAACCATGCCTCAGCCTGTGCCTGGTGTCTGCTGCTGACTTCCTCCACCACTGTGGACAAGTCACTTCAGCCCCCTGGGGCTGCTACCTCCTCCTCTTCCTCTGCCCGTACAGCCCGTGACGTGCCGGGCAGGGCCTGAGCGCCTGCCTGCACCTCGTCGGTGCTGTGGTGCCTGGCTCGGCACAGCACTGTAAGGGAGAGCTCTCCACATTGGCACAGAAACAGATGACTGAACTCAGTAGGAAAACGTTCCCCTGGCCACAGTGATGAGGTTTTGCAATTCATAACTAAGAAAGAGAAGAAAGGCTAGAGGAAGGGTAAAAACCAGAACTGCATGCTGAGCTGTCTGAGGCAGCATCAGCCTCTCCCAGGCTGTGCACACATGCACACGTGCGTGTGCACATACAACAGAGTCTCCTAAGAAACTATGGCCAACTAATTGTAGGGAGACTCGGGGGAGAGGAAATGAAATGAAAAATTGAGTCTGAGTTATAAAAATAAGTAATTTTTATCCTACTTGCAGGAGGCTTATATTAATTAAACATTATTACAGCGAATGAGATGGGGAGGGTTATTAAGTCTGGGGCTGGCTGTAAGTGTTCTCTCCTGTTGCCTGAGGCTCCACTGAGCTCCAGATATTAATCTTCTAAAGCACTCAAATGCTGAAGTGATAAACACTTGAAATATGAAAATGTTTTTCTCCATAGCAGACATTGTGACCCTATGTCATGCCAAAGAATTTGTCAGATGTCCATATAGGCTGCACTTACAGCATTACCATGTCTCTTAGAAAAATGCCGAGCACCTCAGGAGCTGAAGAGAGAAATGATGTGTGCATTTGTGTGGGGGTGATTTGTGTGTGGAGATGTAGCAGATTCTCCTCTTCCCATATGTTTCTGGAATACATATTTTCCTCTTTAGCACTGCCTACCAGGTGTTGGCTGCACGGCTTTCCAACTGACTGGCAGCACTGCCAATCTGGCCAGCGCCTCTGCCAGGTGGCTAACAGGTTCGCCTGCATGTTTGCATCCCGAGACTCAACCTTACCAGGGGGAGGGTAGGGAAGAGCCCACAGCATGCACAGCTCCTTGGGCGCATGGCATGCAGACACTGGAGTCACCGGGCATCAGGGCAGAGCTGAAGACAGGCAAGACCAGCCAGCTCTCCCTGGGGGAGCCCTGAGTTTCATAAGCCATGACTGATAGTGAAGAGAAGTGATGCTATGGTGACACAGTCTACTGTCATAAGGAAACTGGCAAATGTTCTTCATGCCACCCGTGCCACAAAGTCAATGAGGGTATGGAAAGGGCACTAGTCCCGGGGCGAGTTCCAAGATGTGAAGCTGAAGAACTTGATCTATCAACCACACTGCCAGAGGCAGGCTCCCTTCCAACCCATGCCAGCACATCTCAGTGAGGTCCTCCATAAATTAGGCTCTGCCACGCTCCTGCAAATCTTCTGCTTCCAAAGCACAAAAGAAAAAAAAGAGCAAAAGTCAAACAGCAAGAAGCTGGCATATTTCAGCATTCTTAGGGCTTAGCTCATCCTTCACTTGGAGGAGGCTGAAATCCAACCTATGCAAGCCCAGAATGCAGAATAGCTGAAGACTATAGGCAATCTGAGCAACATATGGGAGGAAGAAATGCATCTCTAACAAAAGAGGAAACGCATTCTGGGGGAAAAGCATTGGGTCCTACAGAGGACATTTGGATCAGGATGTGGAACAAAGCCCAGGCTAACCCTCACAGTCACAGGGGATTCAAAGCCCAGTGTCTGATTCAAGGCTATCTCAAGAGGATAGTATAATTCAGTGCCAGCGGTCACAGTCCTATAAATAAGTCATGAACCATGCAGCAAAGCATCTGAAAGCTTCCACAAAAGAAAACGTTCAGCTCTGCACAGCCTTCATAAGTCTTGATAGCCGTGTAATAATCAGTCATACTGTTCACACAGAGAAAGCCCCATCAGCTCCCTCTTCCCTGCTTTGGTATGATTTTAACCATCTTACCAGGCACAGTCTCAGGGCTTGGTTCAGAGTTGCCAATCCAGGGGCTTGTAGGCTGAAAAGACCACGTATAACCCGTTGCCAAGTCATGTGACCAACCACAGAGATCTTCAGGGAGATCAAAGTTGCAGTTGAAGTTTGCAGGGAGGTGGAAATCTTATAAAAAGAAATAACAGCAAAATAAACGTGGATTAAAAAATGACCTACCCATGAAGGGTTGCTATTAAAAACCAACCCAAAACTAAAACAGCTGGCGAGCCATAAATACTGAAGAAAGCATGAAATCTCACTCACGCTGATGCTTTTAACCTATCTCACATTTCGTCAGCTCCAGGGATCAGCCTTAAGTTCTGCATCATCAAAATGCTCACACCATGTCCTCCGGTTAATCCACCAAACTAAGCAAATATAAAAGCAAGTACCAAATGCTTCCAGACTCTAATCAGCACCTTCTCTTCATCCCCTAGAGCTGTCAAATACTAAATGCCTTCTTAAATGTCAGGCAAGAGAGCTTCCTGAGTGCCCTATGCTCATCAGTTCCTGCTCTGGCTCCAAAAGGAGAATCTCAAGTGCTCCAGAAAGCCAGCTCCTGAGTGACAGATCTAGCCACTTGCACCAGACGGGAGCTGTCTGTCAACGTGGCGAGCTGTCACTCACCACTTCCTACCTTCTCATGGAAATGCTACCAGGGGAAACATGGGGCCACCATGAGCTCAAGCTTTTGGATTCTGAGTGAAAGGAACCAGCCTCTATTTCTAGCTCTGCTATGGACTCACCACACGGTCTTTGGGCAAGTCATTTAACTTTTCATCTGTGAAACAGGAGCAGAGCTAATTCCCCTGTGTCAACAGCTTTAAAAGCTCTGGAGAGCCTTCCTGCAGAGACAGGTCTGTGGGCAGGAGGGCACATGCCAGGGGCTGCATGTAGCAGCAAGGCAGCTGCTGGCTCCTTCGGTCAGGGAAGCAGCCATAAGGCATGGAGGCTGCAGAAATGGTCTGAGACCATCCCAAGCACTCAGCGGACATGCATGTCAGAGCCCAATTATAGGCCGGGTTTTTCCTGAGCAAAGAGGAAGTTTTAAATCACAGTGCTTACAAACTGAGTGATAGCCAGAAGGAGGTGAGTGACTCAAGCAATAGGCATCAGCAGAACTTTGCTGGGAGGGGCAGAGGGCTTTCTTTCCATGCTCCCACTTAGAAATAAAACAATGCAGATCATGGATCCTTTTATTCCAATCTAATCTCATACCCTGGAGAGCAGCATTGTTTCTGTTTGGCTGTCATAAATCTGATTGTCCAGAGAAACACACTCATTGTTTATGGAGTATGAGAATGAAAATTGTTGCTAAATCTGAGGGAAGCTGACAGGGAGGCTGGTTCCATGCTCCATGGCATACTCCACTCACTCTCTTGCCCTGGACTGCACCCAGGAATCCTGTTGTTGCAGAGACTATTACTGGTCTAAATTTCCTCTCGGCAGCTTCCCAAATGCCTCAATGGTAGCAGGGCTGCACAGGCTTATCACTGAGGCAAAGCAATGAGAATTGGGCCCTTTGAGCTACTTCTGCAGCTTGCATTTCCAGAACTGAACTACAGCAGAATCCCAATGGGAGATGTGAAAAAGCCAATTAATGTTCCTTTTTTTAAATTTATTTATTTTAAAACCCATTAATTTTTTCTCTGGAACTGGAAGCTAAAGTGACAGAAGTCCTAGGAGCTATCTCAAAGGATAGCTTTTTCTCATGAGATTTCTCGTTGAAGTCCTTGTGTAAATGCCCCAGCCCCAGTGCTGAGGCCCAGGCTCTGCTGTTGTGCCCAGGGACGTGCACCTCCTGCACACTGCACTGTACAACTAACCCTGCACAGCTCTGCCATGCCCTCTCCCCTTAATCTGGACATGTCACAAGCTTTAGATGCTCACATCCCCCTTGCAAGGAGCAGAAGAATATGACAACTGCTTTTACAGGTAGGGATCTGAGGCAGAGAAGATTAGTCCCCCCCCAGTACTGGCTCTTAACAAGCACAGCATGCAGTCTAAACTAACGCTCAGCCTCTTCTATAGTCAGAAGAGGCAAGCAAGCACCACAGATGCCAAACCATTCCTTGTACATCTGACAGACATCTAAGACTGGGGGGGACAAACTCCTGCCTGGCATCAGTGTTTCCCTCTCTCTGCTGCCTGCACAGGGAGCCCTGACTGTCCTCAATTTTAAGCAGCTGATATTAGGGAAGATGATCCTTAACAGATAGGTGTTCAGGTCATCAGCATTCTCTACGTGTCTTGATTTACTCCCACAGTTCTGATCCCTGCAAAAGGAGCCCTGCCTACCAGGCAGTTTGAATCTTTCCCTTGAATCACCTTCTGAATTTATGACACCCAACGAAAGGGATCTGGAACGGAGGTGGCTCTAAACAGGGCACTAAGTGAGTTTCTTCAGGTCATGTAAGGAAGCTGGGAGAGCAGCTCTTCAAGTCTCGTACTCTAGGGACTGAATTAGCTGCTATCTCTTGCTCTTGCATCCTTCCTTGATATAACTTATCAGATTTTGGCAGGTTTTGTTTGGTTTTATTTTTTTTAATCTTGGCCTATCATTAATAACATTACTTTAAGCTTTCCAGGAATCAGCCCCATATATAGGAGCTAACGGGAAGATAAGAGTATTTGCTTAGCTCTTAACCCATCATTTATTGAGATAAAGATGTGCTGCTCTGATACATACCCTCCTCTTCTCCACAGGTATCACCACACTCGGTTGCCTCTTCATCAGTTGGGTATGGGGTGGTGGTCTCTTCGCTCTTCAAAGTGGGCACCAGTGTCTCTGCAGTGGGCTTTACATCTAGAAAAAAATGGAGTAGAGACGCTATTTGCAATAGACAGTATAAAAAGCCCAGGTAGGAAGAAACAAAGCAAAAAATCTTTTTCTCATGTTCTTATAATGGCAGGAAGAGATAGAACAAGAATACCATGAAATTTCCACGTGCTACAAATGTCAGCACGGTTTGAACTTCAAGTGAACTGGCTGTTTCCATATGGGAGTTCCTTTGATTTAGAGTTCCCATTGGACGAGGCTCTCTTCTAGACATACATGCTACTTTTTCTCTTAATTTTTTAATCTACGCTGGTGTTGGCAATTCACTTAGCTGTCATTACTGGATAAGAGAGATCACAGGCAGAATGTCTTTTTCTTTCATAAAGGCATGAGACACGTTAAAAAAACACACACAACATTCCCACCAATTGTGCCAATTTATAAAATAAGTCGCTCAAACCCACAAATGACGTAACCGCAAACGGACCCAGAGGATCCCCTAGCACGCTCTGGCTCACTGCAGAAAGCATCTGGTTTCACACTCCAGGCTCCTGACTACGCTTTCAAAGGCTCTCTGTCCAATTTCCCTCTCTCCAACATGGCCCGTGTGAAACAACCTCCAAGCAGGTGTCAGGGGAAATTTAAGCAAGAAAGGGAAGGATATTAAGATCAACAGTAAACGACATTAGGTTCCAGCAGTCTCTCCTTTTATAGGTGCATTAACTGGAGTACAGCAGGCTTGATTCTTTCCATTTTTAAAAAGAGGCTGCTTTGCCCAGTTATGTGTGATTGTGTTTCTTTGTCGGCACCCTTCAGGATATCATTTAATAAAGCCAGAAGCAGGAGGAAATGGCTAAATACACTGAATATTTTCCATAGGCTCCTTTCTGCCCTTTTATTTTCCTGTTATTAAACATGTTGCACATAAACTCTCAGGCTTTTTTTACTTTTTTTTCCCCCAGTGGCTGTCTTTTGTTCAGGATAAAATACCAAATAACCTCAAAGTCTTTTAATTTGTAAGTTCAAATTTGTTACAACCCCATAAAACTCCAGACGCAACCAAGAAGCAAATTGCAAGCAGCCAGGCACAGAAAAATGTCATAAAAAAGAAAAGGAAAAAAAAAAAAAGCAGCAGGTGAAGGCAACATATCAAAAGCTGCGAGTTATTTAGAGCTGGTACATTTTTTAAGGTTGTTGTTCTTGTATATTGAGATTTATAGCTGAAATGTGACAATGTGGAAGGACCTTGAAAGCCGAGTCCCATACGGGACACAGATGCTGAGCGGATGTAAATCAACAGTGTTGCATTGCCCTGGACAAGCCGCAGAAATGTATCTTGAAAAATCAGTTACCATGGTAGAGCTGCAACATGATGGTTACAAGAGATAATGAAAATAGCAGGGAGGACAACGTGATGTGTGAAATGGAAAGTGAAAAAGAGAGGTCTTGCTTGCTCGCTTTCTCTCTCCCTGGCCCAGCAAGTGTCTGTGCAACTGGTGGTAACTGTTGATCAAAATGCAAAGTCACTGAGCAATTGAAACCAGATGTTTGGAACTTCAAAAGAGAGAAAACCAGCTGCAAGTGAACATTCATCAATCTCCACTGTTCAGAAGAAAAAATTTGGCAGGTCTTTGAAAGAAGCCAATTGCTGACTGCCTGCTTCCCAATTTTTGAGTTAGTAGCCAACTAGTTTGTGAGCCCAGTTGCTGTTAAGTTACCTGTTTGACTCAGTAATTAAGATGTTTGTTGCTGATAAGAAATAGAAACAGCTCAGCAGGGTACACATGAGCTTAGGCCCTCACTTGAAGATATTTTCAATCAGCTTGTTTTAATCCATTTCTTAATCTTGTTCCCAAGCAAGTGCAGTTGCCTGGGTTTTCACAGCCAGTTCTGTAATGTGCCTGGGTCCTCCCAGCAAAGGAGGGCTGTATCTTGGCGTTGTCAAGGACTGCTGCATGTAGCCAGCCTGGATTTAGCATGCAGATAATGCCATGGGCTATCTCTGCTCCCCAGGCTGCATCAGGGATATAAATGGTTTTTATAACATGGTGAATCCACAAGATTACAAGCCCTGCTCTGATTACAAAGCTGAATGCCTGTAGATCAATAAAGCTACGAATATTTATGACTTGGCAGTTGAGTTTTAAACACTACAATGTGCAAATGATTAGACAGCCACACTGGGAAATGACCATAAAGCACCCTGCCTGGAAAAAACATGGGCTGTTGCTGCTGATATTGAAACTGAGCGTAGACATAGCTGTAAAAGAAACTTAGAACCAAAAATAGCACAAGAAGCTGAGGATGCCAAACCCCTCTTATTCTCTAATTTGGAGGAGTGCAATGGAGGGGCTGACATGTACATGGTTGGAGGTCTTGTGTGACTGCCTCCCTTTGCAGCAGTGATGCAGCGCTGTGATGCACCAGCCAGCAATGGGTCTGCAGAGATCTGGCAGCTGGAGACTCCTGGGAGCTGCAGGAAGCAACGATGTGGGAGCTGCCCAACCACTTCTGCACGGAGCCTCAGCTCCCGTTGCTCACATGAAAGCCACGGAGCCTGCTTCTCCTACAACATCCCAAAGATGTTGTAAGATTTAAATTAAGATCTAATCTTGATTTAAAGTTTAGATCATTTACAACAGATTCCCAGTCCAGAGGGAGATTTGCCATTGACTTCAAAGGTGACAAATGATCATTATTAATTGTGTGTACGTGTGTTGTGTGATTTGCTGTTTGTAATGCATCTCACAGCACATCACAGGAGGAAAGGGTAGTAAAGACTCCACAAAAGGCTGGAAAAAAGCTCTGTGTCTTTTAAGCTTCCTAGAATGGGAATTCTTACAAGAAAATGCCTTCTACAGATGTGTTTATAAAATGGAAATCATACCTCTTTATCACTGACATCTGGACACCAGATTCAGATTTAAGCAGATTATTAAAAAATGAAACAGTTTAAAAAAAGGGACAACTAGACCTTGGCACTGAAAAGCTAGCATCAGACCCAGTGAGCTGTTGGGTGCATTTCTGGCTTTTGGGGATAAAACGATGGAGCAATCAATCACCACTGAGCCTGAGGGTCAGAGGCACAACCTCTGCTGATCCCACTGAGTGTGTTAGACAGTTTTCACCTCTGCATTAAAAACAATGGTGGCTGCAAGGCATACCACTTGTGAAAAACAGGTGGGCAAAAGTGAACAAACTTCCTTGGTCTTAGGGATGTTGCAAAGATGTCGTAGAGTTAAATCCCCAACCTTGTCTGCAAAGGTATTTCCACATGGGGTTCAATGAGAGAGGAACAGTTGTTTTTACAGCAAAGCCTTATTGTGGCAGCTCAAGATACCCGTAGTGGTCACTGCACCCCTCTTCTGCATCTCTGCTTCTCTTCCTACTTTTTGTCTTATCCATTTGGAGTAAAAAGCCCAAATGTTACCTAACACAGAGACTGGGAAAGCCTGCACAACCGCCAGATAAAAGATCTGAAAGGAGAGAGAAGGGAGTTGAGGACAAATGCTGGATGGGGCTCTGTGTGAAAGCTTGGATTAGAGTCCAAACATTGCTGCTACATCCTGCATCAAGGCCAGTTCTTTTTAAGGTGGAAGTAAAAAGATGGGGTCAGGCCACGCTGCAGGTCCTGCCTTCGTGGCTGCAGTCTCCCTGCCACAGCATGGCCCTGAGGTGGGACAGCAGGGAGAGAAATAACCTCAGACTTGCACCCTGCTGGTTTAGTGCCTGCCATGGTCCTGATGGAGCCAGTGGGCAGAGGTGCAGGGGCTCCTACCTGTCCAGTTGCAGCCCAGCACCTCCAGGCGCATTCCTATTCCTGCTGGGGACCACCTCTCTGGGTGCACTCGGACGTACTGGGCAGGAACAGGGTCAAACCTCCGGACTTCAGGGATATCATAGTGGATGTTGCCTTCAAAAAGCTACACAGAGAGAGAGAGAGAGAAAAAAAGGCAAGTGATGTTTGCATCCCACATGCTCTCCACCAGACGTGATAATTTGGGTCTGGCAGGATGCAGCCACAGTTTGAAATAGTTTAGCTGTCCGACTCCAGGCCATAGAGTCCAGCTGAACAGAAACTGGGCTGTTCCTCCTCAGTTTCAAGAGGACCAAACAGGCTGTTTCCAAGAAACTTGCACAATCTCTCTTGGCCTCTGCTTTATATTCAGGGATCAGATTCTGATCCAAGCCACGCAGGGGAAGCCTGGGGAACATCCACTAGCTTCACATATAAATAAGATCAATTTGTCCTTTGGCAAATGAAGAAGCTACTGCATGTTCTAGGATACTGTAAATGCTCAGTTTTCCTCACAGTCCAAGTACCGCTGCTTTTCAGCTTAAGTGCATGAATTCAAGTCTGTGGGGAATAAACAGAGGGCTATAGATAGCATCAGGCCTTCTAAGACGCATTGGTAGGACCAGAAAAAATTAAAACTAACCCAAATTTTGAGAAGCAGATGAGTTTGCATAAAAACAGAACAGACAGTAGCAGAGAATTCATTTACTGCTCAAGCCCCCTGCCACTCCCATACTGCTAAGAAGAAAGATTATGGGGAACTCCAACAATATGGGAAAAATACGGGGAATTTCAGGGTCACAGCAGTGTGGCAAAGGGGACTTCAGATGTAGCAAATTTCCCAAAGAGAAGTTGTGATTCATCTTCCTCTTCCAGAGGCACAAGCCACAAGAGCAACACCTTTCCCTTTAAAACACGTAATTAGTTTGTGTCAAACATCATCAAACACACCATCTTGTGGGCTCTCACCTGCTGGAGCTGGGAGGACCAGAAGGTGATGTCCACACCCCCAGGCCTGGTCTGCAATAAGAAATGAAGGGAAATTGCCATCCCTGGGGGCAAGGTGGAACCTACAGCCCCTAGTACAGCTCAGGAGCAGGACCAGGGGACACAACCTGGGATTTTATGGTGACAACCCAAACTCCCAAGGTTGCTGTGGGGAGAAACAGCTAATTTCCCAAGACAGGCAGGCTGAAGATAGCCAGAAACATATCTCATTTTGCAGCTGCTCCAGGCAGTGCCTACCTTGGCTTGCATTGTTTTGGGGTCCTGGATGAAGTCCCAGTCCTTTCCATTCATGCTGTAGGCCACCTTAAACTTCTTCACAAAGGAGCGGGATTCAGTGGTGGTCACGCTGTCCCCTCCGCGAGCCCCCTGGATGATGACGCCTTTGATATTCTTCGGGACGCCAAGGTCCACCTGTAGCCACTCCTCCCCAGGCTGGGCTTGGGGGATGCGGGGAAACCAGCCAGAGCGGCTGCTCACCAGGCGGGCCATGCTGGGAGACCAGTCGTAGCCTCTGATGGAGGAGGCTGAGATCTGCGAGTCAGGGATGAGGCCAGAAAGCATTCCCAGCAAGTTGGAGCAGGGTGAATCTGCAGGGAAGGAAAGGGCATGAACAGCCAGGGTGGTTGAAGGGAGCGCTCGTGGTTTTCCCCACAGGTTTAAGCTCTGGGCACTGAACCAACACCAGCACTGGGCGCTTCCCCCTTGACTCCGGGGCCTGGGTGCCTGTCCCCCCAAGCACTTCCCTTGGGATGGGTGCCTCCATGCTGCTCACAGGGTCACTGTTCCTACCCCAAGCAGCCATGATAGCTGCGGCGGAGGGGAGGAGGAGACCCTCACCGGTGATGCGGCAGCCATACAGCTCCAGCCTCAGGGCGATGCCATTATGCCAGCTCTGGGGACGGATGCGCACGAAGCGTGTGAGCACCGGGCTGTGGATCTTGTTGAGAACCACCTCTGTGGCATCCTCGTTGGCCTGAAATGTCTGCAAGAGAGAGGGGGCACAAATACGGTTATGTCCTCTCCAGGCAGAAAGAAATAACCAGATTAGCAATCAAAATAATCTCAGCAGGGAAAACTGAGGAGAGGCTTTCTGGGCAGGGCTAGCCTCTGGCCAGGGCAAGCACCCAGGGGCAGGCAGGGAGGGCTGGGCTCTGGCAGGACAACATGGCGGATGGACTCGCCCATCAGGTAGGAGACCCAGGAGCTTGCTGCCCCACTGCCCCTCACGGCACCCCGAGGCACCTCGGACTATCAGGCCACAGCTGCTTCGAGCTCGCCGCCAAAACTAGAGCTGCTCTAATGCAAAAGGCCAGATGTCCCCAAATGCTGTGTGAGATCTTGCCTCCCCTCCGCGGGTAAACAGGCTGACATCCTGACACATCCTCGCACTGAGCTCCACCGGGAAACATCTTGTGCAAGCAGCGGTGTGCGAGCAGGCAGGATGCCGCCTCTGCCTGGGGGGCCAAGCCGCCGTCCCAGCCAGCCCCTCGCCCCTGCCTCTCCGGCACACATGCAGCCCGCCACACAGAGACAGCTTTTCGGGAGAGTTTATGATCCGACATGATATGAAAAGCCTGCTGCCTTACCAGATGGCCATAATCAATAACTACCAGATGGACGTTAGATCCACCCCTCCTGCGCATTATTTTAAAAGGACGGACAAGGATTGGATACTTGTGTTCCTGTTTCAGGCTGCGGAGCCATAGCAGGGAAGAAAAGGCGGGGAAAGAGGAAATACCCAACCTGAGGGTAATTTCGAACCCTTTCTCTGCCCCCAGCATAAAGCACTAAAGCTCACAGACCAAGGCTTCAGGCATTGCCTGCTTTCCCTCCAAGCACGCAGGCTTCTCAGGACAGGGCTAGAGCATTCTCCAATCTCAGCCAGGAGCCGCATCCGTACTGAGGTGTTGGCTGGGCTCTTCTGCAGGCTCCTACCCTGCATATGCCGTGCTAAGCACAGGAGCTCCCACTAAGTTTATCTCAGAGCAAAGCAGGAGAGTGTAATCTCTGGCACCAATCTCCTGTCAGAGGCAAGAAACAATTCAACTGCAGATCCCCGTGATCCGGGACAGAAAAAGGGGTGAGGCTCTTGCTTTGAATAGCAGTTAAGAAGCATTTTATAAGCCTCCCACTGCTCTAGGCCTGCAGATAGCACATTACTGCTCTTCTCCCAGGATCCAGCATGCCAGGGTGTGCAGAGGGTGTTTGCAGAGAGGGACAGTGGCTGTTCACAGCACCACAACCAGCTCTGGACTGCCCCTGCACGTCACAGTCCAGCCCAGGATGGCGGCACTCCTGCCAGGGCAGGGAACAGCCATCCCACAGAAGGCTTTGGTTGCAAATCTGGCTGGTAATTGGGATTTGGGGTTGATGTGAACTTGAGCAGAAATGCTAATCTGGAGAATATATATCATGCTGCTACCGTTTAGCAACACAGCAGGGTTTATGTGTTTTTAATATCCTATTTTATCCTGTCTGACCCCACTTCCCATCCTTTTCCTTGCTCAGCAGACACCAAATACCCTTTTCTCCAGCAGGAGGGCTGTAAGAAGAGTGGTTACTTTGAAACACTCTCCGGGCACACGTGTGTGTGCGTGTGTGCATGCGCGCGTGTATGTCTTGTAAACCTGTGAGAACACACATGTGTGCGCGCGCACACACACACGCATGCGCTGAAAGGATACATTTCCACACCACAGCAAAGCCTCCAGCTTTATGTCAGCACAGAAGCTGACACACAACACCTTACCTCTGAACCTAACACCGGAGGACAGGAAATGTTTATCTGAGCCAGTGCAACTATTTTAGCACAAGGAGCAGCGTGTCAGGTCAGCCCAAAGGTCCCTCTGTCCCAGGGGGCGGCTCCTGGTGGTGGCCCCAGCAGATGCCCGAGGGTAGCAAGCCTCGGGGAATCTTCTCCTGGCAACCTCTCTTTGCTTCCCACAATCAGCAGTCTGAAGACTCCATGAGCCAAAGGTTGCATATGGACCAGCATGTTTAACAGTCACTGATGAGGTTTGCTGCTCTTTTTGGTTTAACATATTTCCAGTTTTGTTCTTTTTTAGCTCACTTCGCACATACGAGCATCAGGGGCCAGAAGCCAAATTTACACCAGCGTAATTTGTTGCTGACTTCTGCAAAGTCAAGCTTGACAGAAAGCAGAAGCACGACTGAGCCCCAAAAGTTTATCACTATCACATACATTGCTGAAAGCATCTCTTACACAACCTTAGTCCCAACCACCTGCTTCCAAGGGGAGCAACCTCAATTCTGTTTTAGATTTGGGGCCCAGTAATTTCCTCAGACTAGATCACATTCAACAAGCTACGTAACTCTGAATCAGGGCCTTGACACTCCAGACTGCCAGTTTATGAGGGCAGAAACAGCATCTGACTTCAAGGTCTAGTATCAGCCGCATTGGCAGGATCTGCCCCAGTGAACCTTGTTTCTGAAAAGCCCCAGCTGATCTTAGCAAGTCATTGCTTCGCACTCCATTCAGCATAACAGAAAGAGGCCATTTTCAGACGGCAGGTGCTTAGTGCTGCTAGAGAAGGGGGGTCCTCCCGTGTGCCCGGCCTTTCAGCCTCCTTCCCAAGTGGAAATGCATCACAAGCCCGCAGGTCCCAACGCTGCTGACGAGGGTCTGACCCTTAGCATACGGTTTCTCTGCACTGAAAATGCTGACCCCAGAGCCTGAGCGCACTGTGGAGAGAGTCCCATTGACTTGAACAGGCTCTACATCCTGCCTCAATTTAGCACTCATGGCATGGGAAGAACTAGCAGGAAAATGTGTGAAGTTGGGAGTGCCAAGAAAGCAAAGATTTCTTCCCCTTTACCAAAATAGAACATTGCTATTCCTCCCATCCTATCTGCTTCCCATCCCACTCAGCACATATTTTGAGCCAAGTCTTCAAATGGTGTAAATCAACATATCGCCATCGAAGTATAAGAAGTCACAGTAATTTACACCAGCATAAAAAAAAAAAATCTGGCTGTGATCTAGGGAGATAGATAGATACACACTCATCAGAGAGCACACATGCGCATGTGCACGCACACGCGCTGAAGGGTGACAGAGCCAGAAGACAAATGGGAAAACCATTAACAAATTAAAAGCACCTTCCAAGAAGCAGTCAGAGGAACTAATTTTCACTGCTGCATCAAAAAGCTGCCCATCCCCTCCCCATATACTTTATGTTTACTTCTGTTTTAGTCCAGTCGGCGGGTCTACATGTAAAATTAAATTGATAATCAATGAGAGATGACTTAATTAATTTGCTGCAGAAACCAAGTGGTGGGAGATGATGTCTAGGCTAGAGGAGGACTGGGCAAGTTTTCCATGTGCACGCACACGCAGGCTCCACACCAACACTTAGAAGTCGTATTTCTGACACACTGGAATGCTGCGGGGTGATGGGGGGATTTCTGAAGCTGCAGTAGTTCCAGTGGGTATGGGAATTGTGCCAACAGCAGAGTTTGGAGTGAAGGGAGTGAAGGACAGGGAGACAAAAAGCACCATGAAGTTGAAGAGGCAGCGAGTCAGGGAGGGGGCAGGAGGTAACCCCTCTCCCACTTTCTTTATTGTGCTGCTTGGCCACTACGCAATTTCTTGGGGAGCTGAAGAAAGCTGCTGGGGGAGGCAGAGGAGAAGGCCAAGGATGGCAGCAGCCCTGCCTTCGTCCGTATGTATGTGTCTCTCTGGATACACTAGATTTACTGCAGGATTATGTTACTCCCGTGGAGACAGAGCCCTGGAACAGAGCATGCTAACAGGATTAAGGCTTCAGGATTGAGACAGAGAAGCATGAAGGAGAAAAGTAGGGGAGATTATTTTCCTTGTCAGATAGGGAAGGCATAAAACGGGGCATGTTTGATGGTGGGAGGATTCTGGCTCGAGTGGAGGGTGGATAGTTCTGGATTTATTAAATCCAGGAACAAGGAGGTAAAAGAAAAATGATACTTGGCAACACTCAACAAAGCACAGCCGTCTGGGCAAGGCACAGCATGCTGGGCTGGGCTTGCCAGCACCGTGTCTTTGAGAGGCTCCACTCAGATCCGGGAGTCACCAGGGACGCGAGGAGTGGCACTCTGTTAGCCTGCAAAGGAGATATCAGGCCCAGAAGTACAAAGCTGCAGCCTTGCTAGGAAAGCCAGGGCTGCAAATCTCCCCTGGTACTGCACCAAGGGTGAATGCACACAACTGCCTTTCCCAAAGCCCAATGTCTTTGTCCTGTCTGCGAAAGCAGCAGAAGCAGGCTGGGACCTGGGGATGCTTCTGGGCAAACCCTCTGCACCATGATGTCTCTGTGCAGAAGCACTTGTAGCCTTCTGGTTGATTATGCAAGCTTTTCCTGAGTTTTCCAGATAAAGAAGCCACAGGACTGAAAGCTTTTCTCTCCCTCCCCAGGTGAATGAACACAGGAGACCTCATTAAGAACTGAAAGGACAGAGAAATGCTCCTAAGGGAAGGCACAAGGGTCTCCAAAGAGTCATCTTCAATGTTCCCTGCCAGCCCCAAACACCTCTGAGATCCCCAGCTCCATGTACAGCTGAGATATTCGGCTCTTTGCAGCAATTCAACCTGCCTTCTTGCATCCACCTGAAATACCACCCAGGAAGGTTAGCTGATAACCAGCACGAAGCCGTCAAAATCAGTAGGAAATGGAAAATGCACACCAGCTGGATCTTGCTGCCATTTCTCATCCATTGACTTCTACAGGTTCTCAAAGCAAATGTTTCAGTTGCATCCTCCCATTTTACACACAGAGCAATGGAGGCAGCGAGAGCACCCATCACATTCCCAACCCACCCCAAATCCTAAAACCCATCCTGTCCCCAAGTCCCTCGTCACACTAGATGATCCTTGTGAGCTGATCTCTGCAGTTACTAAGATGGAGCAGCTCAGACCACACGGGAGCTGGAACCCAAGACCCTACAAAGAAGGAAGTGGATCAGAATGGATGAGCACTTTTGTTTTCCAATAAAATCCTCATAGTTGAATCTGTCTGAAGAAAATGACCAAAACCAAAAGGTCAAATACTGCCAGGTACTGCTTCCTTGGGTTCAAGAATGAGTTATTGTTTTCTAAGGACATTTGCAAACTGCTAGATAAGATCTCAGTGCACACAGCAGGGTCAGTGCCTGGAAGATAACCTCTGGGGCTATCGACCATGGATGACACAGAGTGGGATGCAACAGGGAGGGCAAGAGCCAGAGCAGCCTTTCTGGAGCAGGGCTGTTGGGCCCTGTCCCACGGGGATGCGCTGGTGGGTAGCAAGGGGCGAGTGTGGTGCAACATGTAGTGCTGGTCGCTCTCCTCCCCGTCTCCTCTTTTGGGGGACACACAGAAGACAGCTCTGCACCTTCGGCCAGGTCGCTGGGTTAGCCCCTCCCCCTGCTCCCACACCCCAGGCAAGGACAGAGCATCATGCCCTGGACAGGGGGACATCCAGGGTGTGCTGGGCTGGGCTTTGAGGGGAGTGGGATGCGAGGCAGGGGAAAAGCCTTTCCCATTTCCCTCGCTGTGAGTGCCAGCGGCTGGGGACTCAAAAGTGAGCCATCACGTTTCGCAGGGAAACACCCTGGCCCCAGTCTTCTCCGAAACACCGGAAGGAGGGGAAGCGGAGGGACAAAAGAGAGGAGGTCAGAGCTCCCCATCCTCTGCAGAGTGTGCCATCCCTTCCCCACCCCTCCTGCACTCACTGGTTTTCTCTTGCTTTAGTTCCCTGATGAAGATGTAAATGTTAGCTGACCTGCCTATAACATGGCAGAGCTGTGCTTTTGGCCCACACAGCTGGCAGAAATTCAGAGCAGTGTTTGATACACCCCATATGCCTATGTGTGCATGTGCATATATATATATGTGTGTGTGTGTGTATATATATGTATATATATACGTATATATCTGCATGTATGTAGAGGAATAGAAAGTCCCTGTCTGTCCACCCCCCTCCTCTCCCTCCCCATTCCTCATGGCACCAAATCAAGCTGCGGCAGACTTGACAAATCTATTTGGCATGGTTCACTCCACCGTTGCTGCCTGAACTGTGTGGAGCGCCACACTGACGCAGGGAGGAATCTGCACCCTGAATACAGACATCTGGGAGCTTGCCTAATGCAGGAACAGCAAGGATTCGTGCGCCAGAGCCCGCCGGCACCAGGCCTGTGAGCGAGGGGCTTCGCCCTGGCCCCACTGTGTCTCGGCGGCTGGCGGCTGGTTGTTTGGTGGGGAGGGAAAGCAGTCACCCAGATGCAAGGGGTAGGCGAGCCACCAAAAAGCAATTACTTATCCTCCAGCCTCAGGAGGTATCTGCTAAATCGAGGATGGAACACGGGAACAAAGTGAGACTGGAATAAAGGAGTAAAAAAGGAGAGGTTTGATTTTTCCTCTTTTTTATGAAGAGAGAAAACAGAGCAGAAAAAAAGCTGGTAGGACTCAAAGGCCAAATCCGGAAATGGTGGCAATTCTCGTGGCTACGGGACTGCTTTGGATTGACACCAGCTAGGCTTTAGGTCTTGCTGGAGCGATGTAAATTGGCCCAGCAGCACTGAAACCGGTTGTGCTGTCCTGCTCCACCCTGGCTGAGGATCCGGTGTCCAACGTCCGGGACTGCAAGGCCGGGACATCTACTCTCCCCTGTGACTAAAAACACCCTCCAGGCCAGATTCCTGCCCCAGTTAGACTCTGAAAGGTAAATTTATTGCCAGTGGCTATTTGAAACACTGAACTGTGTATTTAGCCCATCTCTCTGACCGGCGTGTTGCTAATCTCCCGTCTGCCTCAGCTTGCAGAAACAGTCCCAGCGAGACCTCAACTCACCCATTTCCGCAGGGCGCCTGGGGTGAGGAGAGATTGCCCCAGTTCACAGAAAGGTCTGCCGCGGCCAGTGAGTCCTGGGAGAGCAGAGAGCCTCCACAGCAGTGCACGGCCACTGTATTAGGGTTACACGTGACCTCTGCCATTAGGTGTGGCCCCAGAGCCAGCCCACCCGAGGTCTGGGGGAGCCTGGTTGCTGAGTCTCCTATGCTGGGCTGCCCTATGCCTCCATTTCCCTACCTCTAAAATAGCACTAACACCACCTCACTGGCACATGAGGAGCTTAAATACTCCAAATATTGGAGGTATGAGACCCTGCTAGGGGCCTCTGCACAGAGAGGACTCATTCTGGGAAGCAGAGTGAATTTGAACCATGAGACAGTTGTAGGGAAGGGGAAATCACACGTCCCGGAAGGGGAGGAAATGTCTGTATGAATCCTGGACAAGGCAGCCTACTGCCTTTCATGCCAGCAGCACCTGTGCCAGCAAAGGGAGGGGACAGCTAATTTAACAGAAGCGCTGAGCAAGCAGAAATTGCTGGGACGTGCATGCGGGGGGAGGTGTGTGGGACCCCAGCCACTGAGTTCACGCAGACAGATTATGGCACATCAATGGGGAGGACCTGAGCACAGCAGCAGTTCTGGTGGGCACCACAAAAGAGCAGGGAAGGGCTTCCCTGAGGTGCCCTTAACCCAGGGACAACCACACGACCAAGGAAAGTGACAGAACAGGACCAGCCCAGCACATGGCTGCCTTAACCCCCCTCCCCAAGGGGGTTTAAGGCAAAGCTCCCATGCAGACCACATCCCGCTTGCCTCGCCTGGCCATGCATCAGCACCCGCAAAGCTTGGAAGGGCTGAACACCCATATTCACCCTCCCTCCCCCTCTCTCCCATCTCTGTGTGCCTCCCAGAAACACGGTGAGAGCATGCAGCAGCTCCCAGGGCTCAATTCATCCCTGCTGACCATGCCTGCTAGCGCAGATCCCACAGCTCTGGCAGCCTGAATTGCTCCTCGTTATTTATTGTTCATTTTGTTCTCTGGGATGGTGCGATCCCCTCTTAGGATTTGTGCCCTTTCATTTCCAGGCCTCAATAACTCCTGAACTACAGCTTCATGTGGTTTTGTGATTGTTAACCCAGCATGCAGACAGGGCTATGGCCATAAAAGCTCGATGAATCTCGTATGGCAAAACACAGGCTGTGAAAGCATTTTCTCCTTCATTTGCAGTCAAATAACATACTCTCGCCACCACGAAAGATGCAACAGCAGCCAGGTTTTCCAAGGAATAGTGTTTCCTCATTGCTGTGCAGAGGAGAAAGGACTATTTCTGCTCAGAGCATCATCAGTCTTTTAGCCCTCATCAGAAAAAGGGTCCCTCACAGATTAAACCTTCCGGACCTGTAAAATCTCTCTGTTCTATTCCCTCCCATTGGCTGCAAGACTCACCAAGGTGCATGCAAAAGAGACAAAAAGGCCTTTACCTTGTGGTTTTTCCCATGTCGGTACATCATCCAGTCCTCTCCATTGGTGCTGACCTCCAGCTTGTAGGTACGGACATAGTAGCCTTTCTGGGTTTCTCTGGAGATGGCACCCTGCGTGGCAATGGCTGTGAGCACAGTCAGGAAGTGGAGGTCCACCTTTCCAGGGGAAAAAGGGACAAGAGAGAGAATGGTGACCACCTGAGAGCCCAGGTTGGCTAGTTAGTTCCTCCCTCTGTCTCTGAAACATGAGAAGGTGAGAATTCAGTCTGTCTCACTCCATCTGTGGGCGCACATTTCAGCAGGCACAAACCCCCTGGGCTGACTTCCGCAGGATGCTTGTAGATAGGACCATGGGACAAGAGTAACTAACGATCTTGACGTCCGTCCATATGGGACCGTCACAAAGCCTTCTTCCTGCCCCAGACCAAGCAACAAGATCTGCACAGAAGCTCATGTCCATTAAAGCAGGACAGAGGCAGATTTTTCCATGTAAAATAAAAGCATGGTGTCCAGCTAGCAAGTGCTGCAGTTCCTGGTTTTCCCTTGCTCTTTTTTTTTTAACAATGTGGGTTGAGAAAAGTCAGCAGAGCTGGCTTGGTAGCACTGCCATGAATGAAGAATGAGACGTCTGCTAGAGGCAATGACATTCACCACCTCCCGTTCCTAGTGCCCTTTAGCAAGCAGTGTCTCACGGCGATGTGACACAGCCAGAAGCCCTGTACGGACAGAGGCTGTGTATCTAACCAGCTCCCAGGCAAAGTCTTTGCTCTGTCAGCCCCCTACCTGATGTCAGCCTGCTCGCACTCCCTGCATCACTGATGAGATAAATATTATTCTAGTTGTTTTTCCACGTGCCTCCTGGAAACTTTGGTCCTCAGGCCAGTGGTGGAGTCAGTGGCCCTTGTAAGTGGCAGAGGTCCCTCAGTCTCTGTCAGTATGCTGGAAAGTTCATCAAGGTTTCGGGCAGGAAGGAGGGAGCGGGAGAGGGACAGTGGGTCAAGTCAGCCCTCGTGCAGGCATGTTAATGGGAGAGCCAGCCTGCCACATTTCACAGAGACACTGCAGCTCCCCTGCTGCTTGCTCCCCATGAGCCACAGAGGCAATAAAAAATTCAACAAGCCTTATGGTCAAGGGTCAGTTTAACAGTGTGACACTCCACTTGGTGGGGGAAGAGGTGAGGGGGCTGGAAAGCATGCGTACCTGGAGGTACTCTCTGTTGCTGTCTGCATTGGGGGTCCAGCCATTGTCATCACTGTTGAGCCGGCTCTGTTGAGGGGTCCATCGCCCATCTGAGTAGGTGGAGGAGGCAGTGATCTGCATGTTGGAGATCCTGCCAGACTCCATCCCCAGCGGCACGTTGCACTGGAAGTCTGGAGCAGACACACACATGCACACAGGCAGATCAGCTCACAGTCTCTGTGCTTCACTCCCAAGTGGAAGGCAGTACTGAACTATCGTTCCCAGCTAACTCCAAGTAAAGCTGCCTGCCCGGAAAGATGAACAGATCTGCACCATCTTGCAGGTTGTGTGTGCTCACAGATGGCACTGAAAAATTAAAGATGGGGCAGCTTTATGTTTGCATGGCCCTCTGAAAATTAATACAGTCCAGATCTTTCTCCCTTTCTCTATCTCCTTCACCTTTGCACAGTTTTGACACAATTCTGTCCCTTCCCTCCCTCCATCTCCACCAAGATGTCCCAAGTCCCTTTGCCACAAAGTTCCCCATCTTCTTGAATGCTGGAGGTGAAATCTAAGCACTGTCAAGGCAAGGAGTATGGGCAGGCACAATGGGAGGGTGCTTACCTTGACATTCCTTGCCAGCAGGAAAGTCCAGGCCTGGAATGAGAAGGTCTAAAGGTGTGCATGTGAGAGTATGGATGCATGTATGTGTCTGTGTATATGTGCATGCCCTATATGTGATATCAGGCCCACAGGAATTAACCAGCCAAGAATATGAAAGGCTCTGGTATGCTTTCATTTGTGTTGCCTTACTTCTAAGACTTTAAAAGTCACAATCAGCTCAATCTTATTGCATATCTCATATATTTTATGGCAGCTGTCCTGAAAAAACAATAGCAAAGAAAACATTGATAGGAAATACTGCATGGGCCCAAGCGTGCCGCTGCTGTAAACCAATGGGGCTCCACCAGACTGCCTGTGTTTTTAATGTGGCCAAGTAAACCCCAGGTGGAAAAGATGGGCCAAGTTAAGATCTCAGTGGTATTATTAAAGTTTCAGTTTTGTACCAGCATAAATCAAAACAGGCCTGGTCCTTTACCAGCTCTTGTGCTTCATTTCTCAAGCTTTGTGTGTCATTAACATTTTATTTCCCAATCCTTTTAAAGAACTGAATAGAAAGGGGATTAAAGAACAGATCAACTGAGTGTGGATATAGGTAATAGTGAAGAGTGCATGCTTGTCTGTAACTCTCACAGCCTCAGCAGAACATCCCTAACTCTGTCACAGAGCAAGAGCCTGCAACCCAGCTGCCCTAGCACTGCATAACCCCTATTCTACCCTGCTCTCTGTCATGGGCTTTCTGTGTTGGGTCAGGGACTCCCTCTCTTTCTCTGGGACTGAGGGTTGTCCTGAAGGCTTCTTCTGTTGTATCACAGGTTCACTGCTAACAGAGGTCGAGAACTGTAGCTCTGATGTAAAAATACCATGGGAAAACAAACTGAATCTTTCCTTGCCTGCAAGCATTATCACGAAGAATGAAATGCTCTTCATTCTCAAAACACACAACTTCCTCACTCCACATCAATTTACCTCCCTTAATAAGGGATCTAAACCAAATCTTGGTTTGAAACTCTTAGAGCATTAGGCATTTTTTTAATTGGACAGCCAAGAAATTCCAATGTGTAGTTCGGGGCTGTGAATTTTTGGAAAACCAGAGAGAGGGAGAGAGCATTTTCCCCCATGCTTTAATGAATCTGCTGCACCCGCTGGGCTGAAGTCTTCCCCTAAATCATTTGAGCTGAGCACATACATGAAGGATTCTATCCCAAAAGGTATTGAGAAGACTTCACAAGCAAGTGAAAAGTCAAAGAAAGGTCAGAAAGTGTGATTCCTACTGAAATCTCACTTCTACGAGAAACAGAGAACACACCTACTCTAACTGCTGTCTGCATTGCTGGTGGGGGACCAGCCCCTGGACACACTCCTGCCTGCCTCGCTCTTGCATGTGCCAAGTGAAAGACTTGGGAAAAACAGGTGACATGACTGCCTAAATTCATACACGTTTCCAACTTACTTTCTGGGACTTCCTGCTGGATCAAGTGGTACTGAGCAGAAAAACCATCTTTAGCCACTGCCAGGTCCGTGTGGAAGGTGAGTGAGAGGACGCCGGTGGTTGAGCGAATGTCCGACGGCATCTTAGTGCCACAGTACCTGCCTATCAAGGGGCCGACTGCAAAAGAAAGAGCAGCAAAAGTAATGCCTGCTTTTCCACCGGCCTCCTGGGTCACCAGCAGATTGGCATCACTCAGCAGGGATGCCATAGTGGGACCGATCGGGATAAAGAAAGGCTTTGGGGATAGGCTATTTTTTACAACTGCTGGCCCAGTGCCATGCAGTGCGCCGTGCAGAAATATCCACTGCAGCAGGCATTGCTCTGCAATTGCTGGGAAATGCTCCAATCTTCTCTGTTTCTCAGTGTTGGTACGCAGTAGGGAAGTCCTCCCAGCACTGCATGAACCCACTGCCCTTCCCTGAGGGAGGACCGGTGATATCTTGGAGTGACCCATGGGGCTTTTCAGATCAATGGCTACATCAGAGCAGTAGTTTGGGGTTTAATGCAGCCTTCTGCAAGCACACCGTCCCCACAGCTGGCCACAGAGTGCCCTGATGGCAGGCTGCATGCTACAGCCACGTCTGAGGTTAGGCACGTTTGGTGTTCAGACACAGACTGCCCAGTTTTGGAGCTTTGTGAGACACCAAGAGAGGCTGATGACAGAAGCGCAGCACCCCACAGCTTACCCTGAGGGATGCCGTCCCAGATGTCCAGCCAGTCGTACTTGCAGTCTCCTTCCCCTGCCTGCAGTGGGTCGTGCTCGAGGTCAAAGAGCACAAAGTGGAGGAGGATTTCTGTCTTTGGCTTGGCTATGATGGTGAAGATGCAATCCAGGTTGTGTGGATATTTGTCAGGGAAACCTGGAGACTCAATAGTGCCGCTGGAGGCAGTGAAGTTTCTGGAGCAGTCCTCAGAGCCTGTAGTGGCAGGGAAAAACCCGCAGCCTTAGCAACAAAGCAGCTTAATGCCAACAGCTTGACACGCTGTGGAAACCCCATTTGGGCTTAGAGGGGTTGTGTATTCACTTCTGGAAATGTCCTGTAACCCAAGAGCTGTGTGAATTCCTGCAAGGACCGAGAGGGTGATTTTCAAAGCTTTCCACAGGTGGAAAGACAAGGTCCGTGCATTCACTGGAGTGGACAACATGTCTAAACCCCTCAGACGGCTCTGCAATTGTAACCCATATGCCACTGCCGACCCCCCTACCAATTACTCCAAAAACAGGTCTAGGAGAATGATCCCATCCAAAGCCACAGCTCCAATTTGGCAGGTCAGCACCCTCCTGTGTCCCCCACGCCAGTGGTGGTGGCCCAGGTGGGGAAGGGAGGCCATGCTGAGCTGGGCTGGGCTTCCCTTGCCAGCCCTACCCACTGTCTGCCGGGCTCCCCAAACAGCAACCTGCCTGGAGACCTGTGTACGCTGCCCCAAAGCCCCCTGAGGGGCCAGCCAGCGTGCAGGGGGCTGTCGATGTGGTCCTCACTGCTGTGGCTCCCACCCGCCGGCTGCGCTGGCAAAGGGCCACAGCAGCTCCAGGTCTGACGGAGGAGCCCCCATTCGGGGAGGGGGCAGCCTGGGAAGGGGCAGAGAGGTGTAACGGGGATGCCATCTCTTTGGAAAAAGCTGTCCCCAGGGGCTGATCTCCTGCAACCTCTCCCCCTCCAGCATGGACTTCTGTGCCTCAGTTTCCTCTTGAGAAAATCAGGAAGCACAAATATTTACACAGTGAAAGGGCCCAGGGGAGGGTGCCAATGTCTCCACTGTTAGCTGGAAACCCTCGGAAACCCTCAGGAAGCATGCAGTTAGCCTGCAGACCCCTGCATCCCACGCCAAGGATGAGGGGGCAGCTCCAGCATATGTCCCCGTTCCACGGCTGTGGCAAGAGTTGGGGTAATGGGGGGCATCTCTGCTGAGGGGAGGAACAGAGCCCTCTTTCTTACAGACTGAGCTGTCCGCACCAGAAATGCAAGTTATTTCTATCCTTAAGGAAGACCTTTGCATGGCGAGGAGGTCAGACAATGTTGCCTTTTATTTATTGCTGACCTCAGCACTGGCCTCGGCTGCAGCCAGGCCAGCTCCATGCCCCCTCTCACACAGCCAAGGTGCCTCGGGGTGGCCAGGGAAAGGGGAATTTGTGTCATATTCATACCATGGTGACTTTGAAACCGCAGCGCTGTGGAGACAGGACAATAGGCAACAGAAATCAGCAGCCTGAAGCTATCAGAGGCGAAAGGGGATGTTAGAGGCTGCCGGCAGCTGCTGCAACCCGGCGTTAGCATTCGCAAAGGTCTCTGCTTCGGTTTTACTGGGACACCCTCCTTCTCCACAACCCCTTCTGCTCCAGCTCTTCCAGGCAGCACGAACCTTCCTGGGACTAACGGGAGACTTGTTATTCAATTCAGCATTAACCTACAGGAGTCAGGCCAGCAGCCTGCAGTAATAGCAGGATCCCAGCACTGCATTATGCAGCGCCTAGCTGGAGAGCTACTCAGGAGAGGCTCTTAATTGACTACCTAATGAAGCAGCCAGCTTTTCTGGTGTGAACCTGTGGGCCAAAACACAGAGGCAAAAAATAAGGCCAAACACAAATCACAGCATAACGCTGTGAACAGGGATAAGGGTGTACTTCATTCCAAAGAGCTTGAAAGACAAATAGATAAATAGGGAAAATAACACAAGCTCCGAGCTAGGGAGAAAATCAAAGACTAAACCCAGAGTCAGGGACTGTCCTCTAGAGACAGGAGAAAGACATAACTATGTCACTGCATTAGACAACAACAATTTCCTCCTGTGGGGCTCTTATTGCATTTGGCATCTTTGTCTACAGTTTGGCTGATACCAGCAAACACAATGATCAGGTTTTTTTTATAAGGAAGCTGCAGATAATCAACGGGAGTCCTGCTGTCTTCGGCAGCAAGGACCAGCCTGAGAGGAGACTTTGATGCCCAGCGATGGAGAGCTCAGGCCAGCTTTGCCAAACTGACTCACAAAGTGAGCAGCAGGGAGGCTGGACCAGCCAGGGCAGGCGGCTCTTTTGTCAGCCCACAGACCACTGACTGATACCCATCAGGGGATTCAAAGACTGGTATGCAGTTGTTTGTATGCAGATTGCTCCTCTCTCACACCGTGATAAGGGAAATTTAGCACAAGGTGTGGAAATAAATGCTCAGTTGAAAAGAGTTGGCTTTTTAGGTCACCTTTAAGAAAGAAAGAAGCTGCAGCCACACTGCCTTTACTGATGTGGACAATGACAATCCGATGACCTTTAGAGCTGGTGACACCCTTGCTGGCTACACTGACAGCTCAGAAGGAAACTTCCTGTGCCTGCCTGCCTGCAAACAAAAGGCAGGGTTTGCTTGTACTGTGTGGTGGCCCTGCACAGCGCTGCTCACTGCCCTCCCTGGGAGCCTGGCAGGCGGGTGGGCTGGGGGTGCTCCCGGATCACAGGCTCATCCCCGCTCCTGTGCCAAATCCTGCCTTGCTGGGCTGGATTTCGTGGGCTGTGGCTGGAAGAAAGCATGGCTGGATCTGGAGAGGATGGCTGCCTGCAGCAGGGGTGGTGTGGCTAAAGGAGCCCAAACACCACTTCAGCCCTGAGGGCAGCTCTGCCTGGACCTACCTACAGGGACACAAACTCGGCTCCACCCTCCACCCAACATCCGCTCTGTCCCAGAGCAGCCCTTGCTTCCTCTCCCTCCCTACCAACAGTAACAAAGTCCCCTTTTCCCATGAGTTTGGCCCTTGCTGGCTCCCAGCCAGGCAGATGGGGTTCTTGCCCACTGTCTCTACCCACCAGCTGCGCTCAGCCTGGCCTGGCCGCTTCAGCCGGCTGTACCACTCCACGGTGCCCCATGCCCGACTCAGGGCATGGACCCGATGTGAGGACAAGAACAACCCAGCGCAGTCTGCTGGGCTCAGAGAGCAGGGAGGGAGAGGCAAGGGAGGATGAGGTGGGTCATTCTTTGCCATCCTCTGTGCTGGCAACTGGCCTCAGCAAACCCCAATAGGAAGGTGAACCACTAAACTCTTTCAGGACTAATCTGCATCCTAACCATTAACAGCCAGCAGCTGTGAGCTGGCTGTACCACAATGGCTCAATGGCGGGTTATACAGCTCAGGCAACCACCAGGAACAGCACCTTCCTCATCCACCTGAACCTCCAGACACCTCTTGTCCTCACCATTTCACAATGAATTTGGGGAGTCCCATTCCCATCCTCTCGCAGCAGAGCCTCCACGTTCACATCTACCTGTGACCGGGTTGCAGGCTGCCTGTGCACCTCTGCCTGCCACACAGCTGGGCCAGGGCCCCTGGGCACTGGTGCCTGTGCTCCCTGCCTTCCCTTTGAAGAGGCTGGGTAAGTGACCTGGCTGTGCTCCTTTCTGGTTCTTCACCAGGCATGGGCATTTCTTTTGTGCTGGATGCGATGACATGAAAGCCGCATGTGTGTTTTCTTCCAACGTACCACCAAAGGAATGTGGGTAGAGGGCGGGTGCCCGCACCCCTGTCCAAAACATGCTCTTTTTCCCTCAGCATGCAGGCACACCTCTCTCACCTGCACACTCAGACCACACACAGAGTGGGTTTTATTTTCTCAAGCCTCCTTCTTCCCAGACACACAATTTTGGCAAATATTTAGACAGAAACACTATTAAAAGGCCTTTGAGCAGCTTTTCCTTTCCTCAATAATAGTTTGGTATTAAACAGAATTATGAATAGTTCCTCTTATATCTGCCTGGAAAGGCACCATCTCAGCCCTTGACAGCACTGCTGACAGCAGTCCCTTGAAAACCAGAGCTCCCCAGTTACAAACCCCGCTTCCAGGGAGAGAAAACACAGCGTCATTGATCAGCCCTGAATCGCAGCTCCACAGGAGGGGGAGCTCCATGCGCTCCTAACCGAGGGACAATCCCCACTCAGCCCTAACAAGCTCCACACATGCCAATGCATTTCTAGTCCTTAAATACAAGAGAGCATTTAAGGAGGAAACCTGCTCTTGATGACTTACTGTGATGCAAAAATGCACTATCATGCACCACTACCATCTTTACCTTCTTGGAAATGTGATGCAACAAACTTGCTTAAATTTAAAAAAAGAAAAAAAAAAAGGGTCCTTTATCTCTGGAGAATATGGTAAAAATCATATTGAAAAGGTGGCCAAAGACATCTCTTTGTGAAGACCATCATGGCAAACAGCCTGGGAGACAGACACTCACCTGTCTTGTAGATCTCATAGCGCAGGGAGAAGCCAGCACCTTGCCGTGCATAGTCCGAGGTGAACTTGATATAGAGAGAGGGGCCAGAAGAGATGATGGTAGGAGGTGCTATGTTCCCACAGTGCTTGCCCAGCAGGTCTGCCGCTTCACTGTCCCCATCTCGGATCTCGATGTAGTCATACCTGTGGAGGCAGGTGAAATGGCAGTAAAACCATCTGTCAGAGAGAGGCTTCAGGATGCCAGGAACAAACACAAACCACTTCTTTATACCTGCATATTTCACAGAACATCTTCCAGAGTACCTGGGACTCTCACTCACACCGCACCACACATGCCCCAATACATGTTTTCCCTTTTATCTGTCTGGCTACATTTAAGTCCCTCCCCCTATTGCTCCTCACATCATTAATTTATTGCAGCCACATCCACTTCAACTTCAGAGCCAACATGCAAAATTTAGGACACAATTTGCCTCCATTTCCACAAGACTCCTTTGGCATGGGGAGAAGCTCAGATACAACTCTCCTGGGGCTGCTCTCCTTCCCTTCCTTCTCTCCTTAAGTGCCATCATGCTACTTAGCACAGCTCAGTTTTATTCCACTATCCAGGTGAGATCTGGCCAAGCACGCACTAAGCATTAAACAAACAGTCAATGTTCAATCCATGTAAGGAGGTAGCTGTTTTGTGCACTGTCTGACACCGCATTGGTCCTTTAACAAGTGTGGCTGGTACACTTACCTAGCACTTGGACAGTAATACTGATCCTCTTCTACTAAGTGCTATCAAAGATTTCTGTGGATGAGAAGTGCTGCATAAGAGCTGGGTGACCACATTCACTATTGCCTGATCCTTGTACACCCTGTAACTGCAACCTGCCTTTGCTAAACCCCACCTGGCGATGCCCCATCTGCCCACCAGCATGGCTGCTGGGCATCTGAACTGTCTGGGGGAGGAATCTGTAGGTTTGATAGAATTGCCTCCTGGTGCAGAGACAAAAGCTTGTTGCAAAGTCTTGCTGGAAGGTTAAACTCCCACAGATTCCTTCATATTTTCTAGGCCATGACTAATGGCAAGGTAGTATCAGGCTCTGTGTGCTGTGAAGAAACAAACAGCTTTTACGTGAACATCTTGTTCGTCAGCTGCCTTCTAACACCCGCGCTTTCCCGCCCCTCTTCTCCTCTCTGGCCAGCATGCTGCTATTTACAGAAACTGCCCATCTCTCTTCGACTGTTTTTTCACTTTGTATCAACCTGTTTGAACAACACGCTACAGCTCTTCTCACGGGGCCAGGGAGGGAAAAAGCATTTCCAGGCTGCCAGGAATCTGCCTTTCTTCTTTGTCACAAGATCTCCTGTTTGGGAACGGAGAGTTGAAAGCAGAAGTAGCTTGCTGGATAGAGAATGATCCTCATGTGACTCATTCCTGTTCTGCAAAGCACACATCAGCAGGCAACAACCTCAAAACAGACTTACAGGGACTCAGTGTGCTCCTCCACAAAGAAAGATGGCCCGGACAGCTTCGGTTTCACTCCTTTCTGGGACTAAATCAGGCTGAGAGCCAGAAGTAAAATGCCTGCAGATAGAGTCCTGTCTACGCTGGACCAAGAACTCAACTAGCTGCAAACACCCAGCCTTTAATTTTGTTACAGACTCAACTGGCTTGGCCAAGGTTAAATCCAAGCGGTCTTGAGAAGAGGCACTCGCACAGGAAGAGCATTTGGCTTAGCTGGTGGGTGGACACACAGCGATGTAAATGAAGATCTGGTCCCTCTGCTCTCTCCTCAGCTCTGGGTGGCTCCTTATCACCTCGTGACCCCTTATTGCCCTGACACCATCCAGCAGCACCCTGCGTGACCCCACTAATGTCCATCATGTGTGGCTTGATCCCACCATCTCCCCAGGGAGAAGGAACATAGAGGGCAGTGTTACTGCTTCTTTTAAGTAGAATTTTCTCCTCCTTGTTTGTCTATTTGTTTGAAGTAGCACTGAGCAAACAGTGGGGACATTTTGTTCTCTAAATAACTACTTGCTTCCAGTGTGCTTGCAGTCCTTCCACATCCGAAGCACACATCTGTGCCGCAGGACTACTGGCTACTAGTGAAATCGTGAATATGTGGCAAAAAATTAATTTGGCAAAAACATGAATGTTGGCAAAACACAGTTAATGGAGCGGACTATAAAAGCTGCTGTTTGCATGGCACAGGCAGAGGTTAGCAGCATCCCAGGGAATCACATCTGGTGTGTCCTTGTGGGGTTATAACCCGCCAACACAATACACGGCTTCAACTACTTGACTGTAACGATCACAGCTTCTGCTGTAGCCAACACACCAAACATCCTAGAGAAGTCCACATGGCTCCTCAAACCACTCAGTGCTGTAGGAGCCCTGGCAATTTCAGAAGCAAATTCTGGACCAAGAAATATTTGCTTATTGAATGGGTGAATAACTTCCAATAATACATACAATTTGGGAATATTGCAATCTGCTCATGGGCAATCTGCAAATGGAAAATTAAAAGAATGAATCTAGTAAGTAAGTCATCAAGAAATATTTGCCTCTCTGAATTAAACCCTGTTTGGCTTCATCCAAGCATTTAACTGAGCTTTCTCCTACTGGAGCTAATCCTTAATAAAGCAAATGTTACAAACAACTAAAAAAGCCCCTAGGAGAAGGTCAGGGAATCTTTTTTTCCAAATGTAAAATGAATATAAAGGCATAAGAGTTTTCTTCCCTAGTTAAAATATCTTGGCCCAAGTCCTCTGCTCCTCATGAGGCAAAACTCTCTTCAGGTCATATAAACAGAGTGTGAATTGGGAGAGTATTACGCTCAGGAAGTAACTCCTGCCCAGTTGAGCAGGAGCACTTACTTCCTCTCCAACATAGCAATTAAGCTTTAGGCTTTCAAAATGAAACACCAAAGACTGAACATCCAAAACGTGAAACTTTCAAACTTCAGCAAGAACACCAGCGAATCCCCACCACAGACTCTTTTGGTGTCATGTGTTTCAGTCGTGTCCATGCCTTAGCCCACAATCAAACAAGCTGATAAACCCTGTTCTCCTCATGTTGGGTCACTGGCCATGTTAAAATCTAGTTTGGCTGACCTTTGCTTCTGTTAAGCTTAGAGCATGGCTTCCAGACTTGCTTCTTCCCATGTGAAAAACAAGAAGAAAAATTGGAAGGAAGAACCCAACCCTGGGGATGCTTTCTACTCTAACCATTTAATTTCCAGATAATTACAGACTAGGGCACAGCTGGGTGGGACATATTTATGCAGCGATGGCATCCAAACTGTCTTGACTGGTGCCCGGCAATTTGCATTTCACTCATATAACCAAATCCATTGTTTCAGTCAGCGTGCACCAACATCTTTGTGGGCTGACCTCTCTGGCATTACCTCCACTGGGCAAGCTGCCATCTCCAAGCACATTTCATGGCCACTTCTCACCATCCAGGCCCTGCTCCAATGAGCCAACCATAAATATGTGAGGGCAGGGTGCAGCATCCATAACCCACAAGTATAGTCACTGGATTAACCAAGTCTTCCTGCAGGGAAGGTGACTGCAGTTGGCTGCTCCTCCAGCAGCAGGGAATTTCCAGCTGTTGCTTGAGTGGGAAGGCCAGCCAGTTGGTTTGAAACTGCCTCAAATGGAGGTTTCCACCAGGGAGTTTTAAGGCAGGGAAGCAAAGCTGAAGTGCTTTTAACTGCCCAGACAATGGGGGGGTTGAGAAAGGAGGGAAATACATTGCTTAGATGCTCTTCTTGGAGCTGTTTAACAGAATTAAATGGAAAATGTACAATGCTTACAAATATCGCTGCGTTTTTATTAAAGATTTTTAGCAGAAAGTGCTTTGCTGATGTTAAGAGAGCTTTTATAAACTAATTATAAAGCACTTCTAACGCCTGTATTACTCATGCTTGCTTGCTTGCTTTTTCATTCAGTCAACCCTCTCTGCTTTCCAGTCTTTCCTTTCTCTCTATTTTCCCTAAGTCACTTTGCTGCTCACTCTCCAAACAAGGCTGCGAGGCACAATAAAGGCAAACAAGCCCAAATTGCAGTGATTATGAGAAGACCTCCACCTTTTCAGTCCTTTTCTGTTGTGAAATAGCTAATCTGCTCCCTAGGAATTGAGCTGTGCTCCACCGTCCCCTGAGGCCAGCACAGACCTCCCAGGTGCCCACCCAGGCACTGGTGAGCTCCAGAAATGCTGCTACCCACCTGGGGAGCAGCACCAGGGAGCCTGCGCCATTCCTCTGGGTGCTCCTCTCCTGAGGCGCACTACTCAGCACAAAGCACAGTTTTGGGACTCATACTGCTCCATGCATAATCAACAAACCTATTGCCCGTCAGCCCTGAATCCTAAGAGATGCCAAGTCCTTCCCCACTCAAACATGCTCCAAGGACATTAGCTTAGGATGGAGATAAACACGAACAATAAATCATGTATATGTTCACAGCCACAATGTAAGTCCTCCTTATACATAAACTTGTGGAAGCCTTGCTTCAAAGCCTGAGGAGGGCTGGCTCCCCAGACCAAGCTCTGACCTAGCTGGCAGCTTTCTCAGTCTCTTCCCAGAGCTATGATTTGGAGTAGGTGAGGGCTTGCATGCAGCTAAGCCCGGTTTCCACTGCTTGCCAGGGCCAGAGAGAGTCGCAAGGCTCTAACCTGAACTTCCCCAATGTTTAAAATTAAACTGTTTAAGTGGAACTGTTATTTATAGGCACTTCCATGGGGCTCATGACTGCACCTGGCAAACAGTAATGATGGGATACTCATGAGACCCTCAGAGGTGGGAAGGCAGAGAGGAGCAGTGGCTAGCCCGAAGTCACACAGGAAGTTTGCACCACAGCCAAGAATAGAAGCCAGCCTTGATTAGACAGATTATATTATATTGGAGGAGTCTGGGCTAGACAGACAGAGAGACAAATAGGTACTGACTGCATGCCAACAGCCCCAAATTTAGGAATGCCCAGTGTTGACTTGAGCCTTCGAGACCTCTGGTCTGCTTGAACCATATGTCATGGTGTCTCAAATGCATCTGCTGAAAGTAGGAGGAGAAACTGCAATTCCAGTGAAATTCAGCAGGTGTTAACACTCTGCAAGTAGCTGGGGGACGGCATGGAGAACCTGCTTAGCCATAACATCAGCTGGTAAATGCAATTGTGCCCTTTGAAAAGGT